TTTCCCACCTAGTTCTGTTCTGCCCTTGCCATAGGCTCAAAGCAGTTCTTTATTTATTAACCAATAAAAGCCACACATAGAAGGACCTCCCAACACCATTGGGGAATGTAGCAGTGGGCAAGGGGGGCAGGGGGCATGTGTGTGCTTGGGAAATTTCCAAGTTGCAGCATGCAGTAAAGCTCTGCTGTTGTGGGAGATCTACAGAAAACCACTTTAGGTAAAAGCAAGCAAAGCAGGCAGGGTTGGGAGACTTTCTGAGCTGTGGACCAGCTGGGCATTTAGGTTATAGTTTTCATTAATTATGATAAAAGATAAAATAGATATAAATATTGTAAGTATAATTCTTGTTTGATACCTGTTTTGTTATAGGTAGTTTTACTATGTTAAAGTTAAAACCATCCTTTTTATTTAAACAGAAAAGGTGAGGCAATATGGGAGTCCCCTCTGTGTGCTGTGATTACCATGAATGAATAAAGAAACTGCTTTGGATCTATAGCAAGGCAGAACTTAGGTAGGCAGGGAAAGCAAGGCTGAATGCTGGGAGAAAGAAGGGTTGAGTCATAGAGAGATACCACCTATGAGAGATAGCCACCGCCAGAGTCAGACATACCACAACTTTGCTGGTAAGCCACTGCCACATGGCAATACACAGATTAATAGAAATGGGTTAAATTAATATGTAAGAGTTAGCCAATAAGAAGCTGGTGTGGGAGAATTGTCTGTATTCTGTCAATCATGTTTTAAATAAACGTTGATTGGCCAGGCAGGAAGTATATAGGTGTGTCAGCCAGACATTTGTCCTAACCCTGAGCTGGCACACAAGCACCCAAACCCAAAGTGTGTAGCTGGGTATGCAGGTGAGCCCTAAATGTATGGGTGCCATTTGTAGGTGGAGATCACTTTTTTGTTTCCCGGCTGTCCAGACCTGAATAATCACACAGAAATTATATTAATTACAACACTGTTTGACCAATAGCTTAGGTGTATTCCTAGTTAGCTCTTACATCTTAAATTAACCCATTTCTATCAATCTGTATATCATGAGGCTGTGGCCTCCTGGTAAGATTCCTAAGGTTCCAGTGCGTCAATCTCCTTGGGCAGCTACATGGCATCCCCGACTCCACCTATTCTTTCTATATCTGTTTGAATTTCCTGCCTGGCTTTACTCTGCTAGGCTATTGTCCTAAGCCGCTTTATTCACTGATCAATAAAAAGCAACACTGTATATAGGAGGACATCCCACATCAAGGGAGAAAGAGGGGAGGCTTGGAGAGAAGGGAGAGAAAAAATGAGGTTGGGATGTAAATTAAAGACTATAACTTCAAAACTTGCCAACATATTTCAATATTAAAATTTATTATGTTTTAGGATTTAAATATATGTATGTATGCATGTGTCTATCTCAATCCTAAAACATTATATATATATGTATATCTATAGTAGAATATTATCTTAAGGTGTTTTACTTTTGTTTATGCTGTGTAACATTTAAGAAGTAAGGATGTGCTACTTCTGTTTATGTTGCATTTGTTTAACTCTGAAAAGCTGTGATTCATTGCCTGTCTAAAATAATTAATGGTCTAATAAAGAACTGAATGGCCAATAGCGAGGCGGAAACAAGGAGAGGTGGGGCTGGCAGGCAGAAAGTATGAATAGAAAAAACGAGGAAAAGGAATAACAGGGACCAAGGAAAGGAGGACTTCAGCACCCAGCATTCACAGAGTAAGAGTGGAAGTAAAATATACAGAAATAAGAAAAGGGAAAAGTCCAGAAGCCATAGAAAGATGGGATAATTTAAGTTTGAAAAGCTGGCTAGAAATAAGCAAAGTTAAGGCTAAGCATTTATAAGTAAGAATAAGCCAGGCAACGGTGGCACACACCTTTAATCCCAGCACTCCAGAGGCAGAGGCAGGCAGATCTTGTGAGTTCAGGGCCACCCTGGTCTACAGAATGAGTTCTAGGACAGGCACCAAAGCTACACAGAGAAACCCTGTCCAAAAAAAAAAAAAAAAAACCTCCATGTGAGTGATTTATTTAGGAGCTAGGTGGTGGGTCTCCCCAAAATCAAAATACTGGAAAGCCAGGGCAGTAAAACATCACACACACGAGAGAGAGAGAGAGAGAGAGAGAGAGAGAGAGAGAGAGAGAGAGAGAGAGAGAGAGACAGAGACAGAGAGACAGACAGAGAGGGACAGAGAGAATATGAATTTAGCAGAGGAGAAACCCCCCATAATGCATTATAAGACAATGAACCGCCAAGTACGCTTTTGTTTTCTGTTGGCCATCTACTGCTGGGCATGTGGTCTACTCTTGAAAGTAGTTTGTTTCTCCAGTAAAACTCCATTGGAGAATACTAAATTCTCATTTGCAAGTGGTTATCAATTGAACATAGTTTCTGGGTTAAGGATAGGGACATGTTTATATTTCTTTCAGTTCTAGAACCACAACTGGTACAGACCCATGCAGGCCTCTGTATATTGCCTCAGTTTCTGTGAGTTAATATGTGCATGGGTCCTGTCGTGTTTTAGAAGGCCTTGTTTTCCTGGTATCTTCCATTAGTTCTAAGTTTCAACACTTTATGCCTCTTCTTCCTGAGGCCTGGGGGGACGGGATTTTATGGAGACATCCTATTTAGGGCTGAGTGTTCCAAGGTGTCTCTCTACAGTTGGGCTGTGGGTCTCTGTATGTTTCCATTGCTGCAGGAGGAAGATCCTCTGATGATGGCTGAGCAAAGTACTCATCTACTAGAGTGTCATTAGGGGTTATTTTATTGCTGGTGTTCCTTCTGTAGAAAAGTAGCATTTTGTTTTGTGCCCAAGGGGTCTCTAGGCTGTCTATTCTCAGGATCTTGGTCACCCAAGCAGCACTGGGTATGGGTTTTATCTTGTGCAGTGGGTCTTAAGTCAAATCAGATATTAGTTCTTTGCAGAAGCTTTGCACCACCACTGCACCAGCACATCTAGCAGGTAGAACATTGTAAATCAAAGGGTTTGTAGCTCAGTTGGTGTTTATGTTTTTCTTTTTGTAGTGTGCACAGTATCTTCCAGTACCAAGAACACTAACCCATAGGGGTCAATGTTCTAGGATAGGCACCAGGTTTAACTACTCTACATTCAATAAGTTCTATAGGTGTTGTTTCCAGCAATAGGGCCTTGCCATCAGTTTTTAGAAAGCAACCTATAGTCTTGGCAATAGCCTGGGTTGTTTGAAGGTTCCCATAGAACCCATTTGGTCAAGAACTCCATTAAATGGAACCCATTCCTGGTACTGGAAGCTTCATTTGGTAAGAAGAGATGTTCAGTTGGGGCTCTTTGTCCTCTGTTATTTGGAGATTTCATTTAGATTGCCTTCATATATATTTTGGGAAGCTTCTACTGTATTAGGTTTCCACACTATCCCTCAAGTGACCCTTAATTTTATCTATCTTTACCTGTATTTCATCCCTTGTCCTCTGTAGGCAGACTTTTCCCAGCTGCCAGTCCCAAATATCCACACAGAGGTATATATAAATTACGAATTCTCAGCCAATAGCTCAAGCTTGTTACTAGCTAACTCTTACATTTAAATTAACCCAATACTCTCACCTATGCTTTACCATGTAGCTTGGTACCTTTTCTCAGCATGGCATGCCCATCTTGTTTCTCTCTGCGCCTATTGGTGACTCTTCTGACTCCACCTTCCTTCATCACCACCATCCTTAGTTTGGTTGTCCTGCCTATACTTCCTGACTGGCTATTGGCCAGTCAGCTTCTTATTAAACCAATTTGAGTGACAAATCATTAAAAGTGTACAAAAGGATTATTCCACAGAAACTATTGATGTTAAAAAGTTTTCCATTAGTGTGACAGCCTACTTTACTAAATTCCTTTTTTTTTTTTTCTGATTTTCGAGACAGGGTTTCTCTGTAGCTCTTTTTGGTTCCTGTGCTGGCCTAGAACTCCCAGAGATCTGCCTGCCTCTGCCTCCCGAGTGCTGGGATTAAAGGTGTGTGCCACCACCGCCCAGCTACTAAATTCCTTTTTAATATAATTTTTTGCTGTCATAGTGTATATTAAAGTTCAAAACAGGACATATAACCATTGATCTCACTCAAAACTTCTGGTTCGTGAAAAAAGTGAATTATTTTCTTCTAGGAATTATTTTAGAATAATTCTAAAGGATAACTTTCACTTAATGTGCTTAAAAATGCACAACAATTTGAAAAATACTAAAACTAACCATTACAAATATACCATCTTAAGGCTAGATGTTGGGGCACATGCCTTTAATCTTAGCAGACAGAACTGAATTTGAAGTTATCCTGGTCTACACAATACCCTCAAAAATAAAACTAGAGCAACAAAATATTAACCTTAACAAGTCTTTGCTATACAAACAACTATCTTAAGCAAGGAGCTAATGAAATGTAAATATTTCTTGCTCTTGAAATAGAAATTCCATCACTTTCTTCATAAATCTTAAAATCTTAGCAGATTGTCAACTGAAAACACTTGAGTGTATTTTGTACTTAACTAAGAAGCCACTTTACCATTATAACATTGAATAATGGTATTGTTCAGATACTCTATACCACCTTAAAATAGACAAAGGAGAACAAAGCTACTTAGTATAATCCTTCAACTGTTTGACTGAAAGCGACTTGTAATTTATGGTTCATAAAATAGGATAGTGATGATAAATTATACTGACTCAAATGAAGTGAGCATTTATTTCAAAAATAATCTAACAACATTAAATGAATACTAGGAGTTTAGAACGCATTGGCAAAGCATCCTGCTTTGGAGTTAAAATGTTTATGAAATAGCTACAATTTTAGGTCTTTAGTACATTTTTAGTACATTATTAGTAAACCATAAATATCTCAAAGTATAAATGTACTAAAAAGTACACATTTTAAAGCAGAAACTCCCCCCTTTCAAAGGGTGGCTAATATTTTACTACTTGTATATTTCAAACCATTATGCAAATTTCATTATATCTATTACAAACTGTATTAAAAATACACTTTAGTTTCACAGATAAAAGTAATGTAAATATGACCCAAAGTGAGCCAGTCCTTTCACTGTTTGTCCATAGTACACACAAGTTGCACTGGAGTCACGTTCTTTTCATCTCTAAAAAATGTTTTAGTCTGAAGGTTCTTGCCCATAAACATACAGCTGCTTGGATGGTGCACATTTGCAAGGCTACTTACTTTTTTCCACTTATATACAAAAACTAATAATCAGATAAAATGTGTTGATAGCAGCCAGATTTCATACATCATTTCCTTCATGAACCTTGAAAAACGACCACAGTCCTCTGCGTATGTTGAGAAGTTCCTCTTCATGCTGTGACCAAAGGGAAAAACAACTATTTGCATAAAGACACATCAGTGTTCATTCCACCCAGTCCCTTGGGGTGTACATGGAGGTACCTAGAGGATCCTCCCATCACTAGCAATATTCAAGATAATGGAGAAAAGACTTGCAATCTCTCAAAACTTCACCCTAAAAGTGTAAAGGAAGAGTTAAAAAAAAATCTAGCTGGGCAGTGGTGGTGCACACCTTTAATCTCAGTACTTGGGAGTCTGAGGCAGGTGGATTTCCTTGAGTTCAAGGCCAGCCTGCTCTACAGAGCAAGTTTCAGGACAGCCAGGCTACTATACAGAGAAACCCTGTTTGGAAAAAACAAAAACAAAAAACAAAAATAAAACCAACAAACAAGAAACCTCTAGAGAAGACTTTTTTCAATGAGGATCGACTTGGCAGCTTGTTTGCTCAAGTTGTATGAGCCTGGCTAAAGTGTCACAGTCCCTGTACTGCATGCCATTAAAATCTCAAGTACTTTAATACTTTATTGATAAAGGTCACTATTATTACGCACTTAAACTCTGAGAAAACCCTTAAATTTGTCCATGTAAAGCAATGACACGAGTCTCTGTGGGGTGTACTTCATCCTAGAATGTGGCTGCTAGACTACTTGACTTAGAAAGCGAAGTATGTTTAAGCAAGTCAATGAAGAGCCATTGCTTACTTATGCAGGTGACAATTCTTCCACTCAGCAGTCTGGGTGCTTGGTCTTGGTTAAAGCACAGAGTGGATATCACAGTACAAACAAGTCATTTCTTCACCTAGCTTTACATTTGCAAATCACTGTCTCTTTCCTCATCCATCCCTCATCTACTTTAACAAGGTTCCCATAATTAAAAAAAAAAAAAAAAAAAACTAAAAGTCACCAGCTTAAACCTGTCTTCTCCAAACACCCACAAAAAGATAAAAAGTAAACAAGTGTGGTGGTCCATGGCTATAACCTGAACATTCTAGAGGGAGGATCACAAGTTTAAGGCCAATCTGGACTCAAAAGCAAGAACCTGTTATAAAACAGAAGCACACAAAAGCCTGGTAATTACACGAGAGCATACACTCAACCCACTTACCATTTTCTTAAGTAGCTTATCTTGCAGAATTTTCATGTTTGCTTTCATCAAACGCATCTGTAAACAACATTATTTCTCTCATGAAATTTATCAGATTTTCACAACAAAAGACAAGTTAGACTATCCAACATCAAAGTTACATATTAAGTACATAAATTTATACCTCAGATATAAAAGTATTATCTTCATAAACAGAGTTAGAGGCAAGAAAACTATTATCTAGTGACGTTTTCAAAACACGAAGCCTAAAAAATAAAATGAGAATTAACTTTTTACATATCAGTTCACAGTCCACTGCTATAGTGCAGTGTATGTTGTGTTTCACCTACAATCTTACAGATTCTATTCATTAAGAAAAGTATACTAACCTCTCCTTCTCACTTCGGAGATATGTCTTCATCTTCTGAACTAATTTTTCCTCGACATCCTAAGTTTTAGGGTACAATAAATCTCTTGTATTTTAACATGATTAAAACCTGAATTATAATTAATGTATTTCTACTAGTCTAAATTTAAGCAAAAACTGGTTAGAGGCTAAGAATACTGTATTTAGAATACGGTATTTAGCTTATACTCTTTCATATTACAAGTATTAGAAATAAAATCTCTCAGATGTCTTCCACATTATCAAAAATCATTAATAAACTAGTTGGAAATTTCTGAGTTCAGATGCAGCTGATAGAAGATAGAGTTATGTTTTAAATAATAACCTGCAGCAGTCTTCCAAACTGGTGAATAAACAATTTTAAAGAGCTATATTTAGCCTTTAAACATTTTGAGAAATGTTTAATTTTAACACAAACCACAAGTTCCTTCTCCAAGTCTCGTAACGTCTCTGAGTCTTTTCCAACTTTCTCCATCTCATTTATGAGAATGACTTTGAATTTCTCAAAACTTTCATTCCTATTAAAAAGGAATAAAATGAGATTGTTGCAGCACCACAGGGCCCACAGCTCATAAGCACACAGCATGCATGGCTCACCAAACAGATGTATGGTACAGACCTGCGTCCTCGAGCTTGAGAGGTCACTGTCATTAGATGTTGTTGAGTCAATTTTAATGTCTTTGTAGTAAAGTCATCCATGATTCTATGTTGGGTCTGAAAGATACTTTTAACTTAAAATGTCTTTATAGAAATAACAAGCTAACCAAGACTATGTTATGAAAAAGTCTTCCCATAACACCTAAGAAAAACTTAGAGAATTAAAAATGTAATTATTTAAATCAACTTTTTTATAATGAACTCAGAGCAGTGTTTACTTGTGTTGGTCAGGTTTTGAATAGAGTTCAATTTTCTATTGTTTTTAGGAATACTATTTATATATTAGTACATGTTTACAGTGTTTATAAAAACTGGAACTAATGATAGTTTTCTTCAAGAGCACAGCTTAATAAAATTTACCATTTTTCCACAAAACACATTTTCACCTACTGCAGTCATATAACAGTCTGTAAAATTAGAGATTCTCTTGACTTTTGAAAATATGAAGATTTTAAGAAATTTCAGATCTTATCTTTGGATAAAAGGAAAGGCGATCAAGAGATGAGGTTCGTGTCATACTAACTATACTTACTGTTTAAAGAAGGGAATGAACTAATCAGTCCAAATAAAGACATAAGAGAATGTGCTTTTCTACCTATTAGTAATAGTAAACACTGTTTTTAGAATGTACTCTGTACACAGACATCCACTGAATTCTCAGAAACTAAGGACACAGTAGAGACAATGGTGGATGAAAGCTGGAATATAAGACACTATATTATGTGCTAGTCTCCACCAACAATAGCCTCTGTGAGAATAAAATGTCTAAAGACGGAAATGAGGAGATAACTACCTGTCAAGGGCTTACCATGCAAGCATAAAGACCCTAGTTCAGATCTCCAGCACCAACAAAAAAGCCAGGTGCAGGGACACATCCTGTAAAGCCAACTCTGGGGAGGTAGAAACAGGCTATCTGGGGCTTGCTGGTCAATCAGTACAATATAGCTCAATAAATAAACTGTATCTTCATTGAGAGATAATTTCTCACAAAAAGACTGTGGAGAACAACTGCAGACACCTAAGACAGACCTCTAACCTCCACAAGCACATGTGTGTACATGCACACCTCACACACATACAGAACAAAATGTAAAAATGCAAAGAAAAATTGAACAGATGAATTAGAAATACATATATGGTAGAAAGATGTTAGAAGGAATGAGAGGTGCCTTTTATCTGATAATCCAAATTATATGCAAAGTCAGATTCATAAATGGGTGTTTTGTTGACTAAGGATCAGACAAGCCATCCATCATCTACCAGAAACTTGGAGTGCATTATCATGGTATTGTGTATAACTTATGAGGTAACTCACATCAGTTTTCCTCTTATAGTCTGAGCTGATGTTATCATATAACATTTCAGCACCTGGAAACTCCTGTTGCCAGTCCTCAGGAATAGAAAAATCTGGTGTCGATAATGAAGCTGTAATTTCAGACATTAAAAATAAAAACAATGAGTTAATATTAAAATATGTATTACCACAAAATTTATCATTGTCCTCAGACAAGGAACAAAAAATTTCTGTGTTTAAATCCAGAGGATTTTTTATTATTAAAAAATGAAATTGTCAACAGAACCCTTTTATAGGGTTACTGAGGCACAAAAAAAACAAATATTTTTTTACTTTTAAATCTGATCCATTAATAAGAAGCATCAAAAGTATTTTAGTGACACACATCAAGTAGCTCAGATTTCAAGTAAAATGAAAATTTAAGACATGATATAATGGGGAAATCTGTTTGAAGATCATGCTACACCTTTAATATAAAGTCATTTTTGTGATAAAAGTCCATATCCATCTTGGACTCACACAAAGTTGTTTGTACAAAGAGTTGTGTTTAAAAGTCAAATTCTAGGAAGCTGTCCAGAAGTTTTGACAGGATTTTGATCTGCTTACTTTTGTAAATGTGATGATCTGAATCTTCCCTTTGACACAGTCTTTTGGAAAGTAATTGTTCTCTCTCTTCTGCCTCTTCCACTTCTGCTTCATTGGAATTACTTATATCATCTTCTAGGAACATTTGCCGTTTGCGACATCGTTGACTAGGACCTCAAGAAACCATTAAAAATAATAGTGCTATAATTCTGATTCAATACATCTACCACTTTATTGCTTTAAATTAAGTTTTTAAACAACTATGTTAAAGTATACTTTATACTTTTTATTTCTGACAACAATGATGTGACTTGAAATGTAGAACTCATTAGGTATAAATCCAAAGTAATTAGTAATGACTTTGAAGGCAAGGCTGTGACTAGAAAGACAGCTAAACAGTTGGGAGCACCTGCTGCCCTTGCAAGGACCCAGGCTCAGTTTCCAACATCTGTGTGCAGTTGCTCGAAACTGACTCACTCCAGCTCCAGAATACTTGACACCTGGCCTCCACAAACACTACACGCACATGGAGCATATATGTACATGCAGGCAACATAAAATTTTTAAAGAAAATCTTTAAAAAGACTATGCCTACAAACCTGATACATGAGTATTGTCACTGGGCATATCCCACCAAATTTTCTCTATTCTTTCACTAGAACATGATAATGGAGATGCAGCAAGGCTTTCCTAAAATAAATATTAGAAATTAGAATAGTATAAACACTTGTATTTATCTTTGACTATTCTTTATCATCTTTGTGAAACTCCCAAGCCAACAGATTTCAAATGCCGTCCAATTCTTTCTCATATAATTGTCTTTAAGTCATCTTTAAGACTGCTGCAAATGAATCTGGATATTAGATTAGCATCAATTTTATGCTAATATAGTTTTTAACCTAATAATTTGCAAATTTCTTATTTTCAATTTCACCATGTTATTGTCTTTGAGTTAGAAAATAGGGAGCTACAGAAAAATTCTTATAAAATGACTTTTTTAACCTTTAAACTTGTGTTTTACTATTTAAACAAACATATAATAAATATTTGATGAATATTATAGGCAAATGGATAACTATTTTCAGATGCATATGATAAAAGAAAATTATATTCTTACCAAAGAAGGCAGTCCTGGAACAGGTGAGCTACTCTTTCTCACACATAGTGTACTGGTCTCACTGGTTCTGGGCGATTTTCCCTGACTTTCAACTTTATTACCATTTAAGGATTCAGATGATGCAGTTTTTGGATAAGATGAAAAAGATTTTGTGATGTAGTCATAATCTTCAGTAAGATCCCTTTCTGTTATTTTCTCTATACCTAGATTCCCCCAAAACACAAACATACAGTATATTACTGTTACAAATAGAGTATTATTTCATTCTTGCTCTAGGAAAGGGCATGATAGAATAATTTATCAAATGTTCAAAGATTAGGTGTATTTTAAAAAGATACACTTTCAATAATTTAAGACCAACTATGTTTTAAATACTAAGACCTGGAACAATTCGCAGTTGAAAATTTAAGGACCTTCAAAAAAATTTAAACTACACACACAGACACACACACATTGTATAAGATGACTTAACTGTTACTTTAAATATTTTAACATTATACTAACTGTTAAAGTTGTACAAAATCAGTTGGTCTAAACTGCTCACTAAAATACCAGGACAGTAAGGCTGGGGAGACAACTCAATCAGAAAGTGCTTGCTGCATAACCACAAGAACCTGACTTCATCTCCTGAACCACATTAAAAAAACCAGGCATGGTGAAATATGCCTGTAATTCTAGAGCTTGGGAGTTGGATCTCTGGAGCTCAGTCAGTCAGCTAGCCAATTTATTCTATTTGATGAGCCCAGGTACCAAGTGGACCCACTTAACTAAAAGTTTTGGGGGAAGATGGCTCCTTAGAAACAACATTTCACATGCATATAAAGCACCAAAATAAAAAAGCAAGGACGTTTAAGTTTTAATGAAATCAATACTCAGTTTTTTAGCTCAAATCAAGATATGTGCATTTGTCTTAGCTTATCTAATGAGACAATGATTCTGAGCACTGTGAAAATAAAAAAGATTGTGTGCTTTAGGGAAACATACACATTAACATTTAACTTTTGGATTTAACTGAAATGATTCACATTTGGAACTGTTTTAAAATAGCCTGAGATTTTGTAATTGAAAGACATACGTAAGCCAACACTCTAAAGACTATGTATTTTCATTACCAATTATTTTTAAATAAAAGCAAACACTATTGTTTCTGAAGATAATCTACTGTGAGTTCACAGAATCACAGCATTTCTTACACTTTTATCAAAGAATTGTATAAAGGATCCCATACAGTTCCTGCTATTAAATACTTAAAGTATTAGAATTATGTTACATTTTTGCTTTTATAGCTTAAGAATATTAAATATTTCCACATTGAATCATTTGATGTTTAACATCCTAACATGAGAACGTTGGATTCTATTTATGTTCTCAAGTTGGCCAAAAAAACCCCCAATTATTAGCATTAGCTGATTTAATATGAACTTTTAAACTACCTATCTCAAATTTCACAAAACTAATCTTAGATTTTCATAGAGTTACAAAAGAAAATTGCTAACTATTCTTGCTAAGTAAAATGCAAGGAAAATGAAGTAATACTGACATCTTGTCACTTCTATAGAAGATGGGCTCCCAGACACAGATGCAGAAGATAGGCAAAAACTGTCTTCTCTCCCATCTCTTAGCTCAGATGAAATTTTCTGTTTTTCTTTTGCCGTTTCTGTAGTGACAACTTCCTGTGGTTCCTTTGGCAGTTTCTTGGTCTGGGCTCTGGAATTGACAGTCTCCTCCTAAATGCACCAGTAACCACAAAATATGGTCACATACATTTATACAACTGGGTATATGTTACACTACAGCACCGACTGACTTATTACTATGTAAGGCCATGACAAGAGCTTAGATGTTATTGGCAAATATATGTTCTAGGGCACTTTGAAAATATAATGACTGCACAGACTATGTATAGAATAATAGAATGCTGTGCAGGTTCAAAGCTGGTGACTGTATCCAGGATAGACAAAACAGAACTCCTAGATTTCATTGTGCATGAGACACTGAGAAGTCCATGAACCAAGATGGTGAAGAGGAGACATACATAAGACTGCGGAAAAGACCAAAAGGTACTTGAGAAACTCAGGTCACCACTCAAGTAACAACAGAGAATTTGTTTATAGCTCTGTGTAAGCAGAGGGTTCTCCTCTATCTTGTACCGTCTCACTGGACCAGTTTCTCTCTGCCTACTTGGTCCCTGCAGCTGCTTATGAAATAACCACTCTGAGGCTTACTATCAGTTACAATTATTTGGCCAATGGCTTAGGCTTTTTATTGGCTCTCTTATTTAAATTAACTCATTCCTACTGATCTGTATATCACTACATGGCCGTAGCATAACCTCTGTTCTAGCATCTTTCTCCTTAGGCTGCTCTTGGCATCTCTCCAGTGGCTACAAGGCATCTCCTTAACTCCTTGAAAATTAAGGATTTTTGTCATTGTTTTTTTATTTTTAAGCATAGATAAGATGAATGGCTTAGAAAGGCATATTTGATGGTGGGTATGTTAACATTAAAGCAAGAAATAAAAATGGTGAATGTTATTTGATCTAAAGGAACTATATATCTCCAAATTCTGGGAGTAGAAAAAGCCAGCATTCCTCAGAAAGCCATTTCCGCTCTACCAAAGAGCCAGTTTCTTCATCACTTGGGGCAGAGACACAAATGGCTATCCATGGTACCAATTAGCATACCAAATTACATGCTGGCCTCCAGTCTCCCTCAGTATTACAAGTATCTGTTATTTCAGCGTCCATGTTGGCATTCTGGATCCTCTCATCCCACCCCTTAACCCTAAACTTCTCCAGCTCAGAACCTCCCCTCCCCCATCCAGCTGTGTGTGTGTGTGTGTGTGTGTGTGTGTGTGCTTACTCAAGCTCTCTTGCTCTCTTCCTCCTCTTAGTCCCTCTTCTCCTCTTTTGATCTCCTTTGCCATCACACTTCTCTTTGTCTTCATCACCCCCTACACCCTCCTTCTCAAGGCCAAGTCCATTCTGCTGCCTATGTTCAACCTAAGGCTTTCTCTTCCTGCTCTGGACTCTTCCAGATGACTCTGGCTATACTTTCCCCTCACAGCTATAATAAAAACCTTCCACTTAACCAAACCTTGGAACAGTCATGTCAGTTTATACAATTATGTTACAAGGTCTTTAAAATGTTCCAGACAAGAGAGATCAGGAACACAAACAAAAGGAAATGGTTTAATGGGTTAAGATCAAACAAAGTGAGTCCCATGGTGGTGCACAAACCTTTAATCCCATAATCCAAGCACTCAAGAGGCAGAAGCTGCCTGATCTCTATGAGTTCAAAGTCAGCCTGGTCTAAATAGTGAGTTCTACTGAGCTTCAGGACAGCTAAGGCTGTTACACATAGAAATTGTATCCCCAAAACCAAAAACCAAAACCAAAGCAAACAAACTAATCAACATAGTGTAGTAGTTAGTCAAAGATCTATCTTTACCAATAAGCTCTTTGGGTTCAAATTCTGTCTCTATCACTTCCTAACATGAATTTCTCTAAGATGAGAATATTCACAGTAATGAACCACCTACATATTACGGTGTAGGAGTTCCTTCTGCTTGTGTGTTGCTTGCATTGGTTAATGAATAAAACTGCCATGGCCTAGCTGATAGGGCAGAACTTAGGTAGGCAGGGAAGACAGAACTGAATGCTGGGAGGAAGAAAGGCAGAGTCAGGAGAAAGATGCCATGGATCTGTGGGAGACAGATGCTGAGAATTTTCCCCGGTAAGCCACTGCCATGTGGTGATACACAGATTAATAGAAATGGGTTAAATTAAGATTTAAGAATTAGCCAATAAGAAACTGGTGCTAATGGGCCAAGCAGTGATTTAATTAATACAGTTTCTGTGTAGTTATTTCAGGGCTAAGCTAGCTGGGTGGCCAGTACGAACAAGCGGGCCCTCTTCCTATTACAATATTCGATTTTAAGATAAATCTGTAAGACTAGCAATGGGCATGCTGTAAGTAGTACTATATGCATACATAAAAAATTTAGTAGTTTAAGAAAATTAAATTTAGAGATTATCAATTTTAATTATATTGATTTACCTTTGTCAGCAGTTTATCTTTAAGTATATATGAAAATTCTTTTTCACTCTCTGATTCTGAAGTTGAGAGATCTTTATAATTTTTTTTTGTTTTTGTTGCCCTTCGTGGAAGTCTGGTTCTCTGATCTACAACTATTTCATCATCCTTTTTGGTAATGTTTTTATTGCGTGCCTTTAGGAGAATATTTCATGATTATTATAATATCAGTAATAGAGGTATCAGAAATATAAGCTATTTGTGATAAAAATGCAACATTGGCAGCTACATACAAAATATATGTAGGAATGAAATGATTCTTGATTGAAAAAACTACCATTCTTGTCATCTATCACTGTTTTATTTCTCTAAGAGAAATACTTTCCAAAGTTACATACACACACACACACACACACACACACACGTGTACATGAGGGAGTATAATCAGTAAAGTACTTGCTGCATAAACACAGAGACCTGAATTCAAATATTCAGAACAAATATAAACAAGCCAAGCACAAGGGTCAGTTCTTATAATCCCAGTACTGGGGAGGCAGACAGGTGAATCCCTGTGGTCACTAGCCAGCTAGGACATATAGACAGGCAGATTTCATGAGCTCATTGATCAGACATTTCAATCAAAATGGTGAACTCTAGGCTTAGTAAGATGTGAAGTAGTGATCAAAGAGAGCATCCCAATATTGTTAACCTTTAGCCTCCACATATACTGGCACAAGTAGTATATATCCACACACAGGTGCATGCATGCAGAACACATGCATGTACACACAGACATACATGCATACTCCAAGACACTATTAAAAATAGAATGCATGATAAAATAATGCAAAGGCAAGGTCAAGAACCAGCTATGGAAACAGGTAAAAAAAAAATGAAGGCATGTGTTATTGCTATGATGGTCTCTAAATGGTATTTTATCTCTTGATTACCATTATGGATCTTGGCTGCCCTCTTTCCAAGGATGACCCTGCAAAATTCAGGAAAATAAGATTAAAATTTAATAGATAAAATAGTCATAACATTTCTGCAAGAATAAATTTAAAATCATAAAATAAGAAGCCCCTCACCCTGATGTGGAATTCCCTCTGTATTCTGTAAATAACATTGGTTAATAAAGAAACTGCCTTGGGACTGCACAGGAAATAGAGGTAGATGGGGAAAACTAAACTGAATGCTGGGAGAAAGAAGGAGGAGTTAGAAAGAAGCCATGTAGCTGCTGGAGTGAGATGCCAGAACTTTACCCAGTAAACCACTGCCACGTGGCGATGCACAGATTACTAGAAATGAGTTAAATTAAGATTTAAGTGTTATCCAATAAAAAGCTAGAGCTAATGGGCCAATTTGTATTTTAAATAATATAGTTTCTATGTAATTATTTTAGGGCTGAGCAGCTGGGAACCAACAAGCAGCCTCCAATAACAAATTGGCACGCCAACATGGCGGATGAACTATATCCACGTAAAACCTGAGAAAGCTTGAAAGGGAATCCTAGACACAAAAGAACAGAGTTAAGCATGGTTTGGTATTGGCATTTTCTTGGATGGGTTCTATTTGCTAGAAGCAAGCAGAGGCATGGCTCCTTTAAGAGAGGTTTCCCTGATTCAGCAGCAGCAGAAAAAAAATGCTGGCTTTCTGGGCGATGCTGCCAGTGTGACCTCTAGCTCTTTCAGGAGGTTGAGCATCTAAATAAGCAGCATGTTACAAACTGCTTAATGGCTCAACATAGACCCACTGCATACTTGGAACTGGGACCATGTGTGTGGCTCGAGGCAGTGAATGGCCTTCCTCCACCATGCTGGACTATGTGAAGCAAGCAGGCAGGGCTAACAATGATGCAGCTTAGATTAAGAAGTACTTCTGGTCAGAATAATTACAGATATGCAATAAAAACAAATTCAGATGAAAAAGACCTCTAAATGATACACAGTGTGTTTAAAAAGGTACGTAGGTTTGGGAGAGAGAAAAAAAGGAGTATAGCGAGTCATAAAACGTAAAGAGACAGAGTAAAACAAACATTAAAAAGTAGTACAGTAAAAATAAGTCATGTAAATTGGACTATACACAGAGAGTCTGGATTGTGTAATTATTGTGTTTACTTTGAATTTTTTGACTGTGAAGGAGCTAAGTAACCAATATACATACTTTAAAGGTATCTTGTATTCAAAATTTGGGTCTAAGGATTTGTTGCTTTGGAAAAGAGGTTTTATTTTGTTTCCACAGAGGATAAAAACCTATGAAATTTTTCCAGACTAATGTGGTTTGATGCACCATGAACCTCTGAAAGGTCGCCACATTACTAATAGCTTTAGGCCCAGTTGCTTCTTTCATTTCAAGCATAATGTCTGCCATCTTTTTATATTTCTTTGGGAGCTAAAAACAAGTGAAACTAGTGAAGCAAATCTTATTTACAAGAAGAGTCCTATAATGCATGTTAACTTACCATCTAATCATTTCAACAAAATAATTGCCACAAAAATTTTGTATTTTTATTGATTGCAGAATTTTAGACCACTATTACCACATTAAACAATAAAAGCAACACATAGACAGAAGGACCTCCCACACCAGTGTATGTGTTGGATAAGGCAGAGAAATGATGATACAGAAACACACAGAGCATAAATAGCAGTAATTAGATGTGTCAGGGACCAATTTTTGATTCTGTTTAAGAATATTAATATTGTTCATGAACATCAGCTACATAACTGAGTAATAGTGATCCATGAATAAAATAAGCAATGATAATATATGTAATGATTCAAGAATTGCGATAAGTCACATTTGTATGTATGTGGAATCTTATTTAAATGAAAATATAAGAGGCTTGGGAGATATCTGCTTAAGTGATTTTCACTTAAACACAAAGACCTGAGTTTGGATCTCCAACAACCAATGTAAAAGGCAGGCAAGGCAGTTTACAATTATAATCACAGCACAGGCAAACCAAACACAGGAAGATCACTGCATCTTGCTGGCCTGTCAGTCCCATTTCGGCTGAACTGCCTGCCAAGCTTCAAGCTGAGAAACTCTCTCTCAAAATATAATGTAGAGAGCAATCAAAGAAGACAGCTAGTATCAACCTCTGGCAGTTCTTCCTATGCCTTTCCGTCATCCTACCTTCTTTTTCTCTTGCCCACCCACACAAATATAACCATTAGCAAAACAATGAAACAATTAGTATATGTTTTGTCTTACTTTATAAGGGCCTGTTAATAATAAAGTATAAATGATAAAAAAGGAATAAACAAGAATCTATAAGAAACTTATGATTATCAAGCAATACTTAGGATTATCAAGTTATCATGCATTTCAATAGAGTATTTTATATAACTGAATATAATTATTTACAATATTTCTCAAAAAATTAATTTCTTACTTGATTTTCTACTTTTGTATTTCTTCGCATTTTTATTTCTACTGTAATCCATTAGTCTTTTTGATTTTGGTTCTCTTAGCCAGCTAATGTCAGTCTTGCTGTCATCACACCCACATTCTGTTTCAGTGTCACTAAAGAGTGTTTTCTCATGACTTGCTGACATCTAGAGAGAAAGCCAACAAACATGCCTTAGTACATGTCAAACAGTATCGTAATGCCCAAATATCCAAACAATAAACTAAATGCTGGTGGCTTTGCCAATTTTTCTGTTGCTTGCTTTTTTAGCACTGGTAAGGGTTCAAAAACTCAGGGCCTTTTATATGTCAGGTCAAAGTTCTATCACTTGGTACATCCTTGGATATATTTTTTTATTCCTTTTACATTTCAACCACAGTTCCCCTTCCTACACTTCCTCCTGATGCCCTTGCCTATCACCCCCAAAACAACCCCCATCCATTCCTCCCAAAGGGTAAGGCCTCCCATGGGAAGTCAATAAAGCCTGGCACATTAAATTGAGGCAGGGCCAAGCCCCTCTCCCCTACCCTCAAGGTTGAGCATGGCATCCCACCATAGGGAATGGATTCAACAAGCAAGCTCATGTACCAGGAATAGAACCTGGTTCCACTGACAGGGACCTTTCACATAGACCAAGCTATACAACTATCTCCTACATACAGAGGGCCTAGGTTCTGTTCCATCTAGCTCTACAGCTGTCAGTCTAAAGTTCATGAGTTCCCACGAAGTTTGGTTCAGTCGTCTCTGTAGATTTTTTCCTGTCATATCTTGATCTCCCTAAGACATATAATCCCTCCTCCCTCTCTTTGACTGGATTCCAAAAGAATGGGGTACAGATCTAAACAGAATTCTCAACAGAAGAATCTCAAATGGCTGAAAGACATTTAAGGAACTGTTCAACATCCTTAATCAGGGAAATACAAATCAAAATGATTCTGAGATACCATCTTCCACTTGTCAGAATGGCTAGGATCAAAAAGATACCAAGAACAGCTTATGCTGGAAAGAATGTGGAGTAAGGGGAACACTCCTCCACTGCTGATGGGACTGCAAACTTGCACAGCCACTTTGGAAATCAGTACAGCACTTATCAGAAAATTAGGACTCAATCTGCCTTAAGACCCAGTGATACTACTCTTGGGCATATCCCCAAAGGATGCTTAAATCATACCACAAGGACACCTGCTCAACTATGTTCATAGCAGCATTATTTGTAAGAGTCCAAATCCAGAAACAACCTAAATGCCCCTCAACTGAAGAACGGAGCATTACTTAGCAGTAAAAAGAATGATATCATAAAGTATGCAGGCACACGGATGGAAGTAGAAAAAAAATCATCCAGAGTGACTCAAAGATAAACACAGCATGTATTCACTCATAAATGGATACTAGATGTAAAGCAAAGGATAACCAGACTATAATCCTTGATTATATATATTTTTTTAAATATTTATTTATTATGTATACAATATTCTGTCTGTGTGCATGTCTGCAGCCAGAAGAGGACACCAGACCTCTTTACGGATGGTTATGAGCCACCATGTGGTTGCTGGGAATTCAACTCAGGACCTTTCGAAGAGCAGGCAATGCTCTTAACCACTGAGCCATCTCTCCAGCCCCCTTGATTATATTTTTTAAAGTATTCCATAATTTGTCAATAAATGCAATTTTATTTCTCATACTGTCCTTGATTAGTCAGAGAAATGATGCAGTGAACAAAGTCAATACTGAATTGAAGTCCTCATTTCGACCATTCTTTCACACAAAGACATTGCTCGGCACAGTACGACACAGCAGTCTTAGTTTTCACCATCTCTAAGTCATTTTCTAGTGGGGTATATATTTATTAATATAAATGACCTTTTTCACTTTACACTCATACTAAACTGCATGAAAAATATCATAAGAAAAAATTTAAAACTCTCAGAAAGCCTCCACACAGAGTTGTCTTAAGATTGTCTATGTCATTCTTCTCAATCATGGTTTTCAAAATGCTTTTTCCCAGGTCTTAAACTTGAAGGTACAGATCAAGGCCATCTTCCAAAATAGTTTAGAACATTTTTGTAACTATTAAATAATTTAAAATTTTCTCATTTCACCCCCTGCTAAGGGAGCACGAGTGTCAGTATACATCCTTAATAATCTATATTCTGCATTAAGTGAACTATAAATATCAGTTTGTGGGAAGGTTGAAGACTGAATGATCTTTTGGAAAATCATCAAGGCATTGCTACTCTCTTAGTAATTCCATTTTATCTGTTTTTCTTTGTATCTTTTTTTATGCAAATTACATGTCACCTTTCTTTGGGCCAGCACGTCTACCTTCCGGTTCCTCTTCTATTCCATCCCTTTAGTGTATCCACACTAGTTTGGTCAGATTGTCAACAAATGAAGACAAATTTGAACGATTACATTACATTCTTTCACTGTATTTGTCAATGGGCTCAATATTCTTGGCAGTTGACTTTGAAAGCATAAAGTTGTCAATATCAGATGCAGACTTAGAAGAAAAAGAAGTCTGACTTTATTTTGTATAGTTTGGCTCTTTCACTATGTAGGTTGTGAAGGTGGAGTAAAGAGGGTTTGGAGACAGACTTTATTAACATTTGGACTTGCTCAATCTTAACAGCTATGACCAGAGGTTTCCTGCTCCAGACTCCTTAAAACCTTTCAGTGTTACTTTAATGGTCGCCATCCTCTGTGCTCTGGATTCAAGGTCTAGAAGAAATTCTCAAACATATAGCTAATAAGTTATGATTTGTTCCTCACTCATCTTCATGATTTGAAGGTGAAAAATCCTTATAGCCTCAAATTCATACCTCTGTTATTTCCTCCAGTTTATCGGGTATGCTTTTCCCTCCTATAGATTCCTTGGGCTTTTTCTTGAATGGAATAATTTTTATGATAACCTGAATGTATCATACTATTCTACTCTATTTTTCAGTATCATTTCCCCTCACATGTACACCCATCCAATTGTTAACCTCTCATACAATTACCTCCACTAGTGCTTCCAATACTAGAATCAAAGCCATCTGAAGAGCTAACAATTCGTATCATGGTTTTATATCCATGAAAATTTTAGATTGTTTCTCAAAATTCAATGACACTTTGACAGTGGAATAAGAAAGTTAAGCAGATGGAGCAGGGTCATACTGTACAACAGTTTTAGGTTGTCTCACTTCACAACAAGCCCTAATTCCAACAACAGCAATGCATAGCTAGGCTTTAAACCTTCTATTTCAGTTTTAGGTTTTTATTTTATATCCACCAAAATAATATACAATAAAGATCCTTAATCCATAACAATTTGACAGAGCTACCCATATTTCTGTTTTAAAGTTGTCAGATGGCAATCTCCAGAATTAGCCATGTTCATTGGATTGAAGGGCAAAGCTTTCTTCATTATTCCATGTATGTGTAATACTGTACTTACCTACTTCAGATGAAATATTCAATCCAGGAGCCAAACACAGTAACAAAATTTCACTCTGAACGTGAACTATTTTGCCTGAATACATGTAAGCGCAACTAGAATTACAGATGGTTGTAAGCTCCTTTTTTAGGTGCTAGGAATGGAACTTGGGTCCTCTGGAAGAATAGCCAGTACATTTCTCAACCTCTGAGCCATCCCCCTCCAGCCTTTGAGTATTAATTTTTTAAACACCAACATGTACTTTATTTTCTATTTCAATCACCTCCAGCATTAAAATATTAAAAGAAATACTCCTTTAAAGATGTATTTTTATGTATGTGATGTCTGTGTACCTATGTGTGTGTTAAGCCACATGTGGCAGGCGTCTGAAGAGGCCAGAAGAGTGTCAGACCCTATGGAAATGGAGGTACAGAGGGTTTGTGAACTGTCCAATATGGAAGCTGGGAACCACACTCAGGTCCTCTGAAGAGTACCAAGCGCTCTTAATCACTGAGCTGAACTTCCTCTCTAGCCCAAGAAACACTGGTTTATATTGGCATATATCACATGTTATAACTTACTCTTTTATTTTTTGTTTTGAAAGGAGAGTCATGTTCATCATGATTCCTTACACCTACCCTGGAGAGAAACAAAAATATGCATTAATTTAAAAACTGTATCACAACTGTTTTCTTTAGATGGGGCTGGAGAGATGGCTCAGTGGTTAAGAGCACTGGCTGCTCTTCCAGAGGTCCTGAGTTCAATTCCCAGCAACCACATGGTGGCTCACAACCATCTGTAATGAGATCTGGTGCCCTCCTCTGGCATGCAGGCATACATGGAGGCAGAATATTGTATTCATTATAAATAAATCTTTAAAAAAAAAGACTGGGAAATTACTTCTAAGTTTTCAAATTTAACTCTCACTAATTTATATCACTAGTTGTGTAATTATGCCAGATTATCCTTTCTGATCCATTGTTTAAAAATAAGTTCAAATAAACATTTTTCAATTCTATGATCTAAGTCATAATATTCAAATTACCGATTTTTCTATATTGAATTTAGAAATAAGTGCTGGAGTAATAATCACAGCTAGAGTAATCATGACTGTAGAATTTTAATCTACTCCTTTTATATGTCAAAAACTCAGATTAGGGAAGATTTTTATTTAAAGACAGTAAATGTCAATGTGACCTACTGATTTATAGTCTTAAAGAAACGTACAACTTTACTGATTTCTCCATACTGGCTTCTCTAGCTGTAGCTTGAAATTCTTGGATCTATATGGAAATAAACAGGAAGAAGAAAGAAAAATACTATGTTAAAATAAGTGAAATGTAAAGAAAAAAATGAACATATCAAAATCTAGTTTCTCCAACTTCAGAGAACAAGAATTGTTATTAAAATCGACTTTCCATAGTATTGATAAAGCTAAACCAAGTCCATAAAAGTAGACTGACAGTAAAAGAAATGAGAATGTATTATCACAGTGAGGACCAGTGCTTTTCTGTGACAATACATTATGGTAAAAATCTCTTACATTCTAAGAAACTAGAACACTTGCTAGACCTCACTGTTACAATTAATACACACTGATGTCACTTAGGACTGTTAACCTATAGCATACTCAATCTTTTTTTTTTTTACCAGCCTTTAAGAGAATAATGTAATAACCAACTTTATTGCCTTAGATTTCCCATGTAACCAACTTCTCCAACCTAAGTAAGGTATAGCTGTAATCTTAATTTATGTACCCTGCCATGACCCTAACCCAGAATAATGCATGAATACTCTAACATTTGGTGAAGACAGCAAAAATACAGGTTGAAAGCAATATCATAAAATATCCACCACAAACACTGAACATAACATCTTGTTAACAATAATGTTTTTGGGGTCAGTTAAACTCAGTAACTGAATCCCTTGTCAAACTCTGTTACAGACTCTGCAAAATATCCCTCATTCCTTCCCCATATGAAGCTTTCTGTGCTGTTCAATATATGCAGACAAAAGCCTTGTGTTAAGGACACAGACACACAGAGAGACAAAGACGGACAGATTCACAAGACAACCTTCAGGCAGGCAAGGATTCAGACTCATACAGACAGAGGGAGATGGAATACATAGGGAGAACAAAGCAAAGAACTTAAATTGAGGTTTGCTCTTATTTAACCAAGAGGGAGGGCTTTGGTTTCTTTTGTTAATGGAACACCACATTTTTGGTGACTTAGAGTTTCTTATTAATGCATTCAAACAGAGCATAGTTTTCTTTAAAGAACAAGTCTAAAGCAGTATAATGCCTCAGTTATTCATTTGTCTCATTTTTTTTAAATCAGGGGGAACACTACCTAGATATACCTATGCTTGGTATACCAATAAACCATTTAATATTTTAAACATTGTATCTCTATCTCAAGATGGCATCTCAAATATAACTGCATATAGCTGCAAAATGACTACAGAAGAACTAAGAACTAAGTCAGTGATTTCCAGCTTACGCCAAGTTTTATGACAGGTTCATCAGTGCCATTCAAGCTGAAATTATATACATCATTCCTGGGGAAAACAAGAGACTACTGTTAGTATCAACTACATAAAGAAATTCAGTTTCTTCAAATAAACACTTAAGAAAACTTACAGTGGACATTTGGAAGTAACATTAACAAAAGTCGTCTTCAGTTTTCTGTAACTTTTTCTCTGAACCTTTTCAAAAATACAAAAGTTCACATAAAAATGTTTAGATATGAGATTACTAATTGCATCAGACAGGTCACAAGTGTAAGAGTTTTAAATTGTGACACATTTCCTAGTTGTGCTCTCAGTAATATAAATCTAGCATTTGTAACATTTTTCTCAATAAAAATGAGTCAACTGAATAAAAATTAAGAAAACCATTGTCTCTTCAAGATTTTTTTATTGATTTTATTGAGCTCTACATTTTTCTCTGCTCCTCTCTCCTCCCCCTCCCCTCTCCCATCAACCCTCTCCCACTGTCTCCATGTTCCTAATCTACTCATGAGAAGTAGAAATTTACTCATGAGAAGTAGAAAAAGACAAGATCTACGCACTTCTCTCTTAGGGTCCTCATTGTTGTCTAGGTTCTCTGGGATTGTGATCTGTGGGCTTGTTTTCTTTGCTTTATGTTTAAAAACCACTTATGAGTGAGTACATGTGATAACTGTCTTAATGGATAAGGAAAATGTGGTACATTTACACAATGGAGAATTCTTTTTAGAAGAAACTAGCAAGCCATTTTTTGTCTCCACTTTGCAGAGACTAAAGTAGGTTTCTGAACCAGAACAGAACATGTATATTTTGGAAAGTAAACAAGCTAGTATTTAAATGTAATGAAAGGATTAGCACAAACATCCTATAAGGCAGAAAAAATTACACCAGAGTAGCATAACAGTAAGATAAGAATCAGAGATCAGATCCTTGATTTGATAAATTAAGTAACTATGTAAACAACAAAAACTAAAACAAATTATAAATGGTAAATCAAAGAGATCTGTATTTTAAGCCTGTGTAAACAGTAAATATTTTAACAAAATCAAGATTTTAGTATTTGTCAGGACAAGACAGAATAAGCTAGGAAGACAGAACCACATCCACAGACAAGAGGCCGTGATAGACTGATTGTAGACTAAAAACCATGGACCCAAAGGTGAATGTACTAGGATCCATATTTGAAACAATTTTCGTGGTTTAGGGGATGCACCTAGTGTCTCAGGAATGGTAGGCAAGTGCTAGCCACCACTGAGGTGATAATCTTAGTTGCCAACTTTTGAGACAAGGTCTCAGGAAAAGTCACCTAGGCAGGCCCTGTACTTGCAATCCCCCCTGCCTTAGCTTTCTGGGTAACTGAAATTACAGGAGTGCATCATGTGGCCCAGCTTAAAAAGAACATTCTTTGAAAAACAAAGTAACTTGTGACTAAATTTGTCAGTGTTATATGTTAGTGTTACAATTCATTTCAGTATTCTGTAACTTTAAATCTAATACCATCTTTATTAATATTTTAGTGCTTACAATCAAATATTAAGTATGACTATGTAGCGTTTGGTTAAGTAGCACATACCTTATTGAATTGTAGGTCAGATTTCTTTGACAAATCACTATTAAAAAAGATACAGTATTTAAGGAGCACTTAACAGCAAAATATTCTTCATAAATACAATCAATATATACTAAAACACATTAACATTAACTATGCCAAAAATGGCTACCAACACAAACCTAAAATGAAATCTCTAATTAGTCTGATAGTTTTACAATCTCACAGTAAATTGTAACTATTACAGTAAAATCTAAGTTGTATCAATAATATAAAAGGAAGTGCTTAACAGTATAAAAGGTATAGTTATGCAGGAAAATACTTTATTATTTTATAGGATTAGAGTGAATTGAAATGTGAATGAATAGTCTCACAGCTCATAAATTGATATTTTAAGAATCAGCTTTTAAAAATATTACAAACAGGAATTATTAGTTAACACAGTATTTCAGCTCACAGACACACCCTGTACTTCATTAAGAAATGCAGTTTTAGCACACTTAGCTTTAGTCATTACTAGGTTCCATAAATAAAAATCCTAAGATGTTTATGTCTTGCAGATTTCTCTCTGAATGCCACACTGTACTGTCTCAGAATGTATGACACTTTATATAGTATAATACAGTACTGGAATGCTCTATGTTACATAATTTAAATAGCTACCATTGATAAAAAGCTATTAGTAATTATTTTCTACTAGAAAGAGACATTATCCAAACATGTCCATAAAACATTTCCCATACTATGCAAGCCAATTTAGTTGCATCTGTCAAAAATACTTGTCTCAATATATGAATATACCTGCCAGTCAGAGCTTCATTTAATTTTCTTGTAGACTTCATGCCATCATTTGGGTTGTACCTCTTATTAATTTGGCTTATCAAGGAGTCTGCTGCATCAGTAAATCCTTTCCCTTTTGACTTTTCTCTCTGAAACAATTATAAGTTACTTTAAAACTATTACCTAACTTTTAAGGGAAAATAAATGCTGAAAGAACGTTTAGGAAATATGATTCTACAGAGACCTACAAAACAATGAGTGGTCAGAAATTATTTAAAGTCTAGACTTTATACAGCAATCAAAATCATTCCATATACAGAGAGCTATGTTGAATGCTTCTTACATATTTTTAGATGTTATTATACATGAAAATAAAATGCTAAAGGGAAAAGACAGTTCTTTGAAAAGATCAGTAAAACTGGCAGCATTACAGCAAAGTTAACTAAGGATTAAAACAAAAGGATGTAAATTGCTAACACCAGTAATGAAGAGGCCATCGCTTTTAATCACAAGCACATTAGGATAATTATTGAGCTCCATGTCCATAACACTGGTAACAAACAAGATGGAATAATTCCCTGAATGATGCAATTTTTAAAAACTCAGGCAAAGAGAAATGGGATTATTTGAAAACACCTATATTTATGGATCCAATCAGTGGTAAACCTTACAAAACAAAAGGCACCAGCAGACCCAGGTGGGTTTACTAGTGAGGCCATTTAAGAAAGAAATTATATAAATTTCTCCCTAATATATCCTAGAAGGCACAGAACAAAACATCACAAAAACAGGAAAACTAGCCAGTAGCTAGCAAATCATATCCAATAATGTCAGAAAAGAACTGCACACCAGAAACAAGTAGTACTTACTCCTGGTATGCAAGACTGTCAAATTTTAAAACTCAATGCCTATCATCTCTCACCTCAGCCTGAGGGAGGAAAGTCCTATCAACAGATACACATGAAGCATCTTAGGATGATTTAAAACTTAAATAACCTCAGCAAATTAAGAATAGAAGGGGATTTGCACATTAGATATGACTCACATATTGTAGTGTACACATGAAACACCTTCCTGAAAGGCTCGTGTGTTGAAGGCTTGGCCCTAGCTAGTGACACTCCTGAGAGTGGTGTTAACCTCATCAATGGATTACTTTATTGATAAGTTCATAGTTGAATGGGTTCGGAGGTAGGGGATGCCTTGATGTAAAAAGGCAATCACCCAGGAATAAACCTTTGATGGGTATAACTTGTCCTCAGCCCCTTCCTTCCTCCTGCCTTCCTTTCCGTTCTTCTTGGCCACTATGAGGCAAATAGTTTTGTAATACCATGTGTTCTCTGCTTAAGAGACCACAGACTGTCTTTTAAACTATGAAGGAAGATAAGCCTCTACAAGTCTCTTCCTCAGGTATTTGGATCACAATAAAAGAAAAGTTAACATCTATTTAAAATAATTATGAAGCTGAGACATGACTCAGCAGTTAAGAGCACTAGTTGCTCTTTCTGAGGACCTGGGTTCAGTTCAAAGCAAGCACATGGCACATCACAACCATGTATAAGCCTAGTTCCAGGGATTACACACCTTTTTCTGACCTTGAAGGACAGTGAATGTATGTGGTCATATTCATACATGCAGGCAAAACACTTAAACACTTGTTTTTTAAAACTTCAAAATTACAAAACAAGTTATAGCTATCATCAAACTTAATGGTGAGAAGCTAGATCTCTTTTAATATGAGAAGATTTTGCCTCTCATCGCTTGGTTTTAAAAAAACATAATGAAAGCCTAGATAACTCAATAAGCAATGAAAGAATTAAAATTTCATAATTACAAAACCCCTAAAAATATACAATAAAACTTGTAAAAACTAACAAACAGTAAAGTGGAAAGATGCAAAATTAAAACAAAAGTCAATACACAAGAGAAATACTACATGACTCTGATAAAAAAAAATCCAAGAAAATCCAAAAGATATTCCATATACATTTTATAGAGTATTGTCAAAGTTGAGACTTAACTTCATGGCTTTAATGTAATCCCAGAAAGCCATTTTGTGTTAGAAATAAACTCAACCTCAAAAGTTAATGATAGCAATAGGCAAAAGGGAGAACCGACATTGCTTTATTTCCATATTGCTTTATTTCCAGACTATTAAAAGTTGCAGTCAAGACAGGACTGAAATGCCAACACATGCAAAAGATCAATACCACAGCCATCAAGAACCTAGAATTAGATTCCCCTCAACACAAAATAGAGAGGGGAAAAAAGACCAAAAACAAACAAACAAAAAAACAAAAACCAGTTCAGAGAATTAGACAGTCTTTTCACTAGTATCAGATCCAAAAGAAACTGGCTAACTCCTCCAGGCTCATTCAGTCAGTACTTGTGTCTTTTCTTAGCTCTTCTCACCCAAGCCTCTACCCTAAAACACTGCTGACATTTAGGCCAAACACCCTTGGCCCACTCTCTTTGCTCTTTTTAGTCTTCTTTTTCTTCCTCTCTCACCCTCCTCCCCTTTGCTCAAAGCCATGTTTGTTCTACCCCTTTCTCTTCCTGCTCTAAGACTTCCAGATTTCTCTGGTTGTACTCTCCCTTGTATCTACAATAAAACCTTCCCCTCCACCATACCTTGGAGCAGTCACAGTCTTGTCCTCACTATATAATATCATGCTAGAATACACTGAACAAGCATATAGTAAACAGAACCTTTGCTCTGCACAAACAGTTAAAACAGATCACAGACCTAATTGTAAACCACAGAATAAAAGACACCATGTAAGATAATCTACATGAATTGTGTTTGGCAGTACCTTTTCATATAGAATCTTAACATGCCAAACACAGAGAATGGCAAAATAAATAAAAGCTCCTCTAAATCATGATTTTAAGAAATTTCAACTGAAAACACCACTCCATGCTAAAACGAAAATCCCTGATAGCACTAAGTACTAGCAAGCATGTAGCATAATTCTAATTGCTGATACAGATGCAAACTAATACTATTGCTTTAGAAGACTTTGACAAACTCTAAATATTCAAACAATGTGATCCAGTCATCAAGAATAGGTAGAAAAAACAAGAATTCTTCAATGGAAAAATTCAATCTCTTGATGGTATAAAAGCACAACAATGTATAATGCAAATCTTAATATAAACTACAGACATGAATTAATAATGCCACATCTCTATAAAGTGTACCATTTAAGATGTTATTAAAGGGAAATGGAAACAAAAGTTTATGAGAAATTTCTCTTACTCATTTCACTGTAACCATAAAACGTTTCCTAAATGAGTGTCTAGGAAAATTGCTGAAAAATTAAGACTACAAAGAATTATCATCACTGTATTTGAGAATTTTTTTTAATTTCACATTTTAACCACAGTTCTCCCTCCTCCCTCTCCACCTGCTCCCATTGGCTTCCCCCCCCCCCAACCCACTCCCTCATTCACTTCTCCCAAAGGGTAAGAGCTCCCAGGGGGAGTCTGGCACATTAAGTTGAGACAGAACTAAGCCCCATCCCCCTGCATTAAGGCTGAGTGAGCAAGGCATCCCACCACAGGGAATGGGTTGCAATGAGCTAGCTCATGCACCAGGGATACAGCCTGGTCCTACTGACTGGGACACCTGGAAACAACCTGGATGCTGCTCAACTGAAGAATGGATAAAGAAAATATGGTACATTGACAAAATGGAGTTATTACTCAGCTTTAAAAAACAATGACATTAAGAAATTTGCAGGCAAATGAATGGAACTAGAAAAAACCATCCTGAATGAATGTAACCCATACTCAGAAATACAAACATGGTATGAACTCACTCATAAGTGGATATTAAATGAAAAGGAAAGAGTAACCAGGCTATAATCCACAGACTCAGAGAGGCTAGGTAACAAGGAGGACCCTAAGAGGGACACATGGATCACTCTGGGAAGAGAAATTTTATGAGATTTCCTGGATAAACTGGGGGTGAAGAGGGCGGTAGAGGGGAGGGGATGGGGGATGACAACACAAGGGAATGTGATAGTAGAGGAGGGGAGGGGTGAAGTGGGAGAGCAATGAAAGGGATATCTTGATAGAGAGCCACTATGGGGTTAGGAAGAAACCTGGTGCTAGGAAATTCCCAAGAATCTACAAGACGACGCCAGTTAAGACTCCTAGCAATAGTGGAGAGGGAGCCTGAACTGGCCTTCCCCAGTAATCAGATTGTGACTATCCCAACTGTCATCACAGAGCCTTCATCCAGTAACTGATGGAACCGATACTGAGATCCACAACGGAGTACCAGACCAAACTCTGGGAATCCAGTCAAAGAGAGGGAAGAGGGGAAAATGTAAGCAAGGGAGGTCAAGATCATGACGGAGAAAACTCATGAACTCTAACAGCAGCTGTGGAGCCTCCATGGGACTGAACAGTTGTGAAGATAAGTTAGTTTTTAAAATTCTAACAGTACTTAAATAGCTAAGGTCTGTTCATTTTATATTTCTTTCTGGGTTCAACTCTATGTATTTAGAAACTAATAAAAAGTATGTTAATCATTTTAAAGTCTGTGTTTTTATAAATAAAGGAAGTTATCACTATCCCTTCTTAGCAGAAGATGTGTTACTGGCTTAATAAAATGTGACAAAACTGAATCTCCCTGAAAACAGTATATGACTTCAGATCTTCCAGAACAGGAGAGCCTTGAGTCTTACTGAATTACAGAGGTGCTATTGTTCTGTGCGGATCTAATAAACAGAAGGCAGTCAGACAGATGACTATAGGAGACTGATCCACCACAGAAAGGGCAGGAAATGCTGTGTAACGACACAGGAAAGAGTGCTATTAGGAAAAAAATAGCAAGCTGATTTAAAGAAACCTAACTTAGAAAATATGTTATGTTACATTTTTGACATTATGATAAATACTTGAGAGAACTTAAAAGAATAAGAGTTATGTTTTTTCCTCATGATTTCAGAGACTGTAGTTCACAGTCCCTTTGGCCTTGTCACTTTAGGCATGAGGTGAGGCTGAAAATCATGGCCACTTATAGAAAAGCAGCATTGTGAAACACTAATTCAATTTACACTTTCAGAGGGATAGAGAAAAAAGAAATCAAGAGTTTATTCACACATACTTACATGCTTGTTCCAAAGGGCTATGTTAGGAGGTAAATGAGGAGCTTAAGGAAGCATCTAGTAACTGAATTATCCATGTCAAGTCTATGGCAATATGTTAAGACTCTCTTAACGGTAAGCACTCTATGGGTGTGTAAGAAATGAATACAGCCAACACTCACCACTGGCATTTCTTTTAGTGCACATGAGTTAAGTTCAGAAGTCAGTTCTTTCCTTGATTTTGTACTTCTCCTCATGCTTTTTCTAGAAGGACTTTTATCACAAAGAGTAGCATCCACATCTTTTGACAATACACATGTCTTCTTATAGATGAGTGATTCTTCCGTTTTCTTATTTAGGAGTACTGATTTATAAGAAGTTTCAGATTCAATATGCCAATCACTCTGCTTAGTGTTTTCAGAATTTTTCTTTTGTGAATGTTTAGAATGATTTTGTTCTTGATTGTTTCTTTCACAAACTTCTGCTTCATCTGAATTGTTACACTTGAATACATCTTTCTTGTATTTTACCCTATGTGTTTCTTCAGAATCATCATCAAGTAATTTTTGTTTAGTGCATTTTTTGTTGACAGTGTCTACTAAAAGAATAAGAAAGTCTTTTAGAATGAGTTTATAAGGTAACCTCTAAACTTTATTGTGTTTACCTGAATACTACTGCATTAACAGATAAGACTATTTTCACCTTGGATAAAAGTGTGTCCTGGTAAAGTACGGGCTCTCTGGTTATTGCAGAGTTTGATGGTTGTTACAGGTGTCCAACATGCCCATTTGGAGTGTGCTGTATTTTTAGAGATGTCCATAACACCAGGTAATCTAGAAAAAATAGTATTTGTTCAATATATTATCAAATACAAGTGCATGACTCTTTAAGACACGATGTTTATATACAGTCAATGTTTCTGAGAACATTGTTAAATGTGGAAAACTTTTATAGCATGTGAAATTATATAACTGATAAGATTAAAAATACTAGAAAAGTATCATGATGTCACTACACTGCTATATTCCTAAATACATCTTTCATATCCTAATCTATCTTATTGTAAATTTAAACTAAGGTAAAACTTTCCACACTAGTACTGCAAAGATCTTACAGCTCCTTCATATGGAAAGAATAAGACAGCTTCTTTCTTATTGTTCCATCATAGCTATCAATAATGTTATGACTGACATTGCATTCTAATAGAAAGGCCTTTCTTTCAAATCTGTTAAATTTAATTCACCCAAAATATGAATATATGTTAAGGGATCTGATAGATTCTCTTATACTCACGCAGACTCATCTGTTTTCACTGCACATACATCAGAAAAATTGTCCTCAATTTCATCTAAATAAAACAAAACCATAATAGTCACTTTTTCATGCAGTTAGAAGAATGAAGTGTGAATATAATCCTATATAAATGGACATTTTTGCCCTCCTCCCTCTCTGACTCAAACTTCCCAGGAGCAGAGGTTATATAGTCTATTTTCTCATCACACTGACATTTCTTTATATAATGTCGGCAGTTATTATAAACTTATTTCCAAATTAATGAAAGCCACTGGGGTTAAGAAGACTAAAAAGGGCTCACTTGTTCTTTTTCACTCCCACCCATCTACATGGTCACACATGCACACATGTATACATATACAACTGCATGCACACAGACTTGTATGTGCACACTTGTATACACATGCACATGTGCATGTGCATACTACACACACACACGTGCGCACATGCAGACACTTTTGCAGCTGCATTCACAGTGACTAAAATTAATCTTAAATTAATCCACAAAAGTACTTACTGAAATTTTGGTCTAGGGATTCATTGTCTTCATTTTCTTTGTTTTCTACAACTTTAGTAGTTTTGTCATGCTATCAAGAGGAAACATGTAAATACACATTAAGATATTATATGAATTCAGCTTTTTAAAGACCAATAAGGTTTGGAAAAAATTTAAGGTTGCCTCTGTATGAAAGTTAGGTGGTATACACATTTCATGAACATTATGCACACATTCTAAGACCATCATTGCCTGATCTTGAAATGCACCAAAGCCCAACTTTCACTGTAGACATGAAGACATAAGAGCCCACAAATTTTCTAATCTCATCTCAGAGTTACTACACTTAAGACTAATAATGATTTCTGAAATCTCCACGTATATCTTTCTTGTTGCTGTTGACTTCATACCCTATTCTCTTTTACTAAAGTAAAAAGAGCTGAAACTTATTAAAATTTAATTGCTCATTAAAATTTTTTGAGCACTTTCCAGATAATTCTTTTCCCAAATCAATATTTCTTCCTATAGCCACAGATTCATCCTAGGTCAAGATTAAAAACAATCCAACAAACAAAACCCTAATATCACAATCAGCAAAGTACATTGCCTAGCTGCAGATTTTTTTTTTTTTTTTTTGGTTTTTCGAGACAGGGTTTCTCTGTGGGTTTTGGAGCCGGTCCTGGAACTAGCTCTTGCAGACCAGGCTGGTCTCGAACTCACAGAGATCCGCCTGCCTCTGCCTCCCAAGTGCTGGGATTAAAGGCGTGCGCCACCACCGCCCGGTTCCCTAGCTGCAGATATTTTACCTTGCCCTTAGTTGTCCTCTTTGGGATGCCAGTCATCACACAATACTCAGAACCATGCCACAAAATTAGAAAAATAGTGACTTTATTAACAAGCACTTATACTACACTATTTAAACCATTACTTTGACAATAGCTTGTAATTTATTCAACTCTTATGCCATTCATCTTTCTGCACACACTAATAGCTTTCATCTTTGGAGCTAGGCTCCTGTTTCTTCATTGGGTTCTTACTGCATCCTATGCGTTCATCTGAGGATGCTTATGCTTTAACCGTAAGGCAGTCGTATTAATCCGTCTAACCCCATGCTAGACTTTCAAGACACTTAAAGACACTCCACTACAATCTCACATTCTGTATTAGTCTTCTCACAGCAGACAGAAGTTTGTATAATAAAAAAGAATGACAGAAACTTCCTTTTTCTTAGTAATGTGTGAAGTTTCAGGTACAGTGAAACAGGTACTTCAGAATTTTAATGAAAGCACATGCCAGAAGAACCCTTTCAAAGATTACTGGTATTTAGAAAAACATGTCATTTTCTAAATATTGTACTTTGAAAAAAAGGCAGCTCAGTATAAATTTCTAAGATAACTTTTTAAAATTTATTTGAACACAAAGTATCCTTACTTTGTCTCTAATATTCCATCTGTTTCTTCCATCAGATTGTCTAGATTTGAGTGACACAGCACAATCCACTTCTCTTTCTGATGTTTTAGAAACATCAGCTTTTTCAGCAGAAGTTATTGCTTGCAGTGGTGCCCTACTTCTTCTTTGGGGTGTTGCTAAAGGAACAAAGATAACACAAGCTATTTTTCCTGTTGTTACAGAGGTGACTTTCAGATGAGGAAGGTAAGAGGTGGAAGTTCTCAGGACATTCCTAGGTTTCTGGCAACTAAGTGAACACTATGACATTTAATACAAGGAGAAAAAAACATCAGGAAAGATACAAAGAATTATTAAATCAGATACTACTCATTTGAGAAATCTGTCATGCACAGGGCTGTTACCCAGAGTGTAACAAGATTTTTTTGGACTTGAAGCTTATTAAGTTGTCATCAGAGCAACTACTACTAGAATGTGCCAGGTACCATATGTCAATATTTTACAACATTATTTGTTGCATGAATGGTTTTTATGTAATCCTGTACCCAAACTGATGAGGTATTTTGGCTCCACAGGTTGGAAAATAAATTGATTCTGAATTTAGAGGATACTGTGTGTCAAGTACAAAGCTGGTAGTAAAGAACTAAATCCAAGAAACCTGATGACTCCAACACGGTTTCTAATCACTATGTTATAATGCCTTCTGCTTAAATTATGATAAATTATTAACATAATATTAATATTTTAATATTTGTTTAAGTCAATACCTTTTCTTCTAAGATACCGTGATTTATATTTTTATCAATTTTATATCCAGAACTTCCCTGAATAAAAATTCCTCCCCTAAAATACTTGCTATAATCTTTTAAGAGTGTTTTACACTTACATGTGTTGATTAAGAGTATTGGACTTCTCACTGTGTATCTATCTGCATCGGGAACTATCATTGATGCTTCAGACATTTTCTTTCTGCAAGGTGTAGTTATCTTAAACCACAAGAAAAGCCACAATAAAAATATATTCTGTTTAAACATTAACTATCCTGCAATTTTAGTCAGAGTTTTGCTTGACTACATGCAAAATGTGAAGTATTTTTAAGTAATTACAATTGTCCCACAAATTTCTTTGTTTTAAGCTAACTTACTTAAATGGTTTTATCTTCATGTTTGGTAATGACAAAAATGTTTTAGAATATTTATAGATCACTGGGCTTACATAATATAGTACCTTTGTAAGTTAAAAATATTTTATAGATATTTATTGATGAATAACTTGTGATTTCCAAGAAGATAATGTTTGCACATTTAGGTATTTAAGACTACTTTGAATGCTTTCAAAATGTTAAGAATTTTCCAGTATTTTTCCTCATCTACTATCATTTAAAGTAACAGGAATTCAGAGCCACCAATTATAATAAAGGTTTGTATTACCCCACATCACTAAAAGTAACAGAAATTGGTAAGTAGAAGTAGGGAATACAACAGGGGACACAAGTTTCAGAGAATGCCACATAAATAAGATGGCTCAAAGTAAAAAAAAAAAAACAACAAAACAATAAAAAAACCTCAGGACTGTTTAAGGTTGTATTTTATGTTAAAACCAAAGCAAAGATATGACAGAAAAAAACATAAGTAGGAAAAAGTAACTCATCTATCTATCTCCAATTTAGAATGTCCAAGTGTACAATATAACAAACATGACTTGCTAAATAAAATAATTGCTTCTGTTTGCATTTGTAAAAGATGGGACAAAAACTGAAATGCTACATCAAGGCAACATTGTATCTATCTATTCTAGGTACCTTTGCTCCATTTCCTTCAACAGTGGAGTTTAGTAAAGTAACTCAACACCATATTTACCTCATCCTGGCTGCTTGTTCTGTCTTCCTGCTTGCTGATGTTGTCTTCTGTTGGATTTTCAAGTCTCTTCTGAAGGTTAGGTTTCTCTTTTAGATGAACAAGGTCTTCTTTGACTGGAGATGGTTGACTTTCTGGCACTAGAATCTGAATTTAAAATGCAGAAAATTCTATCTTAAAAAAGAAACTACAAAACAAATGCATCTCTCAAAAACCACTGTACTTTGGCAAAGCTTCTGCCCCCTCACATTCACACTATCTTCCCTTACTAGGCATTTTCTAAGTTTCACAAAATGACCCAACAAAAAACAGTCACCTTTGCAAATAAGCTCTGACACTTACAGTTCTCATTTTTAAAATTAGTAAATTATAGTTTTCAATAATTATTTACTTCTATAATGAAATTATAACTAAAATGTCTTATTACAGAATTATTTATATTTAGACCATTTGCTTTCCACATAATCACCCTCTAAAATAAACTTTACCACTGTAATTTTATTTAGCGTTAAAAAAAAAAATCAAGTCAGAGACATACCTGTGATCCAATTGCATCAAAAAGTATATGAATAGATGTTTTGGCAACTGAAACACCTTGTTTTCTGGTAAATTCCTAAAATTCAGAATTCAAAGTGATGCCATTTTCTTCCTATTTCATGCATTTATTTCCTACCCATTTTCTCCCACAACCACCAATTATTCCCAAATCATTACTATACATACATGGTCTAACTTAAGAACACACCCATTACTTAGCACTATCCGGTCTTAAGTTTTCTATTTTACTGCCTATGGGTCCCTTATGAATACATATTTTTGACATATTTGAGACAGAATCTTGTTAGGTAGTTCAGGCTGGTCTGTAACTCACAATGACACAATAACCCAACTGTCCCTCTGCCTTCTGAATAGTGGTGTGTATTCAAAATTGTTGAGAGTATCTCCCGAAAGTGTCCCATAAACTGCCACCTTATATTTTCAGTTAAAGAGTGCTGGCTTATACATAGTCTTCCATATTATTATTCCTCCATATGCTATTTCAAGTCCCATCTCCATAATCATGCTTTGCACTGTGACTCTCAATGGACATTCTCCAGTTTATATAATTTTTCCATAGGTCAATTGTTTAGTTCTCTCATTTCTACTAATTCTCAATTTGAAAATGTTTCATTTTAGTCTTCAAAGACATAGTGACTCAAATGATCTCACCAGCTACTGCCAGATGACTGTCACCTGAGACAATTCATAAAGACATCTCAAGGATACGACTTAATGAGCCAATAAGCACGCTATAGAACTGCTTAAAATCATGTTATTTGTTGTGTGTTCATGTACATGTGCCACAGTGCACATGTAACAGGACAATCTGTGAAACCAGTTCTCTCATTCTAACAAAGGTGGAGAAACTGGGGAACAGACTTTGGTCTTCAGGCTTGGTGGCAAAGTGCCTTTATCTACTGAGGCATTTTGTAAGCCATTTACAGTATAATTTTAAAGAGCTAAGAATCTATGCCATTTTAAGATTCTGATAATGGAAAAAGCAATATAACTTAACAGTCCCAAACAGTCTGTAAAAACATGATAATACTATTTGTTGAAGGGAGATTTTCAAAGCTTACCTTGTACTTATTTCCACCAAAAATCTTTTTAGTCACATTGGTGATTTCTAATGATGCATCAAAATACAAAAGTAACTCCTTCCCTTCTTTTCTACTAATTCTTACTATATTTTTCAGAGTTATAGTCAGAAGCTTCTTTGATTCTCTTACTGTATATAGAAAACAATGATAATAAATTAATGTCTATACTAGTCTATAACTATTATAAATATGCAGCAAATTGAATCAAAATACAAACATTTTAAATTGGATATTGTTTACCCAACTCTAACTACACAAACAAATCAGTCAATTTATATTTCACTTTCAGTGTCCTCATCTATAAATTATATCACAATGCCCTCAACATTGAGATAGGTCCTGGAACAGTTTCCAAGCCCTAACCAATTCTTAAAATATTCCATGAATGTGCCCGAAAAAGCGGCTTTCTTAAAATAGCTAGAAATAATGTAATTATGAACTCAAGTTATCAGCATATATATAATACATCATATATACCACACACATACACATATATATAAACAAAGATCTCTGGTAAATCAACATATTGACTGCTAATAACATTTTGATAAAATTTCCTGAGCATTATGGAGAAGGATATAGTCCTTATCCTCCAGGAACTTTTCAACCCAATAAAAAAATCATACTTTAAAAGTCCCAGTAATATAAGGTGTCCACACTTGATACTCCAAGAAATTATAGCAACTAATTCGCACTCTAGGAGGCACTATGCTCCTGCTTACCTCTGTGATGCTACTTATAATAATGTTCAGCCTACTAGGAGATACCAGTAAGACCGTCCTCCTACAGGGAAGGCTCAGTAGTCCCCTCCTGAGACAATACTTTATAAATCAGCCATTGGAAATAATATGTAAGCCTATTTTCTAAGTCTATAATTTAGTATTATATGGAAAACATTTTGTTATCTGACTCAAATGTAGGAAGAATGTTTGAAGAAGAAAGTTTTGCCTAAATGGGGATTACAAGTTACTTCTAAAAAACTACAAAGAGGATCTTCTGTCAATTACCAAGGTTACAAAATAGGTTTACAGAAAATTAGAACACAAAAGGCACAAATTAGTAGAGACTGATTGTGAACTCTAAATGACTTTCAAAGATTGTTAGGAGATATTTCCAGTCTACGACCGGCTACTGGGATAACATCTGACTTAATAGTTCATTTAAACAAAACCTTTGATGGTGACAAAGACTTGAATAGTCCTAGAGAATTAACAGCTGAAGTGAAAAAAGAATTGAAGAGCATTAAAAAGAAATTATAAATCTTAATTGTATTCTACTCATATTGCTTTCCAGAATTTCTCCTACAGGAATTTTAATGCAGAGGGAAGATACTATCTTAGAATGGATCTTTTTTACCACATAAACCAAGTAAAAAATTAAAAACTTATGCGGAAAAAGTCTCTAAATTATAAAAGGAAAATTGAGACTTTGTCAACTAGCAGGTATAGACCCAAGAGATTATAGTTGCTTTTACTGTTGACGCAATTAAAAAAAATATGGGAAGACAATGAACCATGGCAAAGAGCTTGTGCTAATTTCTGGGGAGAAATTAATAGCAATCATCTCAAAAGTGATAGAATTAACATTATAAAGAGAACTACTTGGATTCTTCCCTGAATTGTACTTGATTCATCAATAACTGGAACTGTACATTTTATACATATGCAAATAAATCAGAAAATGGCGTATTATCTGCATAGTAAAATTTGATTATTTGGACACATCTCTACTTAAAAATAAGAGCTGGCTTTGGAGTTAGACAATGGCTATACTTCCTAAATCTAAATGATCTTCTGCCATTAAATAAATTAATCAAAATATTTATAAGGCATATATTGAAAAATATCAAACATTGTTTAAAGAAGTCCAGGACCCAAATAAAGAACTATCTCTATGGTCTGAACTCTAGTTCTAGTACTTCACTCTGATTCACAGTCACAATTCTAGGAAATTTTCTGTAATGATTACACAAAACCTCTTTAAATGTATATGGATACACCAAAGGCCATGGTTCTGAAAACTCAATTTCAGAAAATAAATTAGCTGTTTCTGTTAAGCATGAACATAAAATTCTGAAAACACCGTGGTACTGGTCATAACATGTAAACAAATCTAAGAAATACAAAATCAGCAAGAAACAAGACTACTCTTACAGAGCCAGATGACTTAACAGAGGAATCACCAAGGGTAATAGTCAATGGTACAGCATGTGACCAGGGAAAGAAAGAAAGTCAAAGAAATTAAAATCATTTTAGCAAATAATCCTAGAATAGCTATAAATTCACAAAATCACCTACAACTTGACAACCGAAACAAAAATGAATTTGATTTAGTTCACCATACTAAAACACAAAACTAAAGCCAAAGTCAAACAGAAAATCTGTGACTAAGGAATAGACCAAGATTTCTTAGGTCATAGAAAGCAACAATTATACAAGGAAAAACAAAACAAACCTGATCAACTAGATTTCAAACTTAAAAGCCTTCTTTTCCTGTACAACCGACCCTTAAATAAAAGCACAATACAGACTATGTTCACAAAATGCATCTGTCAAAGGACTGGTATTCTAAGAAACATAATAACTTCAAAATTGAATAAACAGACAGCTCAGCAGAAGACAGAAGTGTTTAAGCAGACGCTCTACAGGGGAAAGCACACAAACAGCCAGAGAGCTCATGCATAAAAGGTACTCACCATTACTGCTCATTAAAAATGCAAAATACTATGGTAATATAAACATATTTTAAATGGCAAATATGTGCCCTAATTTAATATGGCATTTTATCAGTCTGCTAGATTTCATGTATTTGTCCTACAGTGCTACCTAACTCCTCTTATAGGACTGAGAAACAAGGCGTTTGGATTTACTAAAACAAATGGGGTAGGAATTTAAGAACCTTGAAAACATGGTCATGATACTGAATCGGACCAAATATTGTGGTTTTAGATGAAGAAAACTGGGGTGAAGAATGTGATGACCTTATGGATGTGTGTATCTACAGTCTTTTCATAGTCTGTCATATTAACTTGCAGTTTGTATGCCTTATGATAGGAACCAAGTAGAGAATTATAAAAAAAAAAAAAAAAACAAGCTTCAGGTTTAGTACCTTCAATGTTGTACATCTGAACTTTTTCTTCAGGCACAGTGACTGCTTCCCATTGATGATCCTTAAATTTAGAAAAAAAAAAGTCTTACATATATATTTACTCCCAATTTAAAACTTCTTTCAATATCAATTTAAGTTAAACTATGTGACTTAGCCTTCTCATATCTCCTGTACACCTTCTATCACTAAACATATTTCTAGTCCTTCAATACTTCATTTATAGATTCTAAAAATAACAACTCCTAATGCCCTATATGCCTTTTACCAGCTATAAACAAGAAAAAAACAAATTTTGATCTTTTATGAAATCGGAAAACAGGATTATTTTAATAATTACTATAAGGAAAAAAATTGGACAATGTGATACAAAACTTGGCAGCTAGGCTACTTTATACTTAATGACCAGAGAACCCATTTTTAAGCAGACAGTATTTTTACCAAACGCTAAACTGGAAGGCACTGTCCTAGTACAAGTTTTGTTGGTGTGATAAAATATCTTGACAAAACTGCAAGGAAGGAAGAGTTTATTTGAAGGAAGAGTTTATTTGACTTACAGTTCTAGGTTACAGTTCATAACTGTGAGAAGTCAAGGCAAGAGCTTGAAGCATCACATCCACATTCAAGAACAGAACATCAACTCTTGGATTCTTGCTTGTTCTGTACTCTCCCTTAACACCCCCCCCCCCCTAGGGAATGGTGCCTGATGGGTCTTCCAACATCAGTTAACAATCAAGACAACTTCCCCTCTTCAGACATGACCACAGGCTGACATAATCTAGATAGTTTCTCATTAAAACTCTTTCCAACTAATTTTAGGCTGTGTTGACAGTATCACAGAAACTAGGGACCTGCAAGAGGGTTCCCTAGGGTAAACACAGCCTGTAAGATTTGAAATTCAGTGGTTTGAACAAGGAGAATGTTGTATCTCAGAGGGATATTCAGCTGCCAAAGCTGTAAAAGTCTTTTACACCACATTAATGAGACAAAGAAGGGGTTTAAGTGGCCACTATATGGATAATGGTTTTAGGAAAATAAGCAGCTCAGGAAGAACATACTACTACAGCGATTGAGAGAAAAGAGAATTAAAAATGTAATTCTGGAAAGAATGTCTTAATATCTTAATCAGTATTTTGAACAACTTATAGATGGACTTACACATTCCCTAATTATGTATACTATAATATGATTGCTTATTTTCTTTTCTAGATTTAGTAGGTCAAACTGAATCATGAGGACAACATCAATAACTACAATAATTATACTCTAATAGTTGCTGAAAATGAGCATTCTATGAAGGTATTCTAAAAAGTATATGAAAATGTAAAAAGCACTGGCAAACATTCACTTATAAAAATGTTCTGTGTGAAGGAAGTAGAACTATAAAAATAAAAAGTTCAGAGTCTCCTTTATATCAGCGGTAGCAACCAGACTAGGCTATGCTGATCAATTGTCAGAATTTGGGAGTGGCTACACCATCTGAGCCACTGTACCAAATATCCCAAGTGACAGCTAGGAAATAATAACTCTCAATACCTCTCCCCAGGTAACAAACAGAAGAAATAGTCTACTTTCAAAGTCTACACATGGCTAAGACACAACATAGAACTAAAATTCACTTCTACATGCCACTGTACATAGAAATTCCCTTACTTCTCCCAGGAGGTTTCAAGACTGAGTAAGACCAATTGTTGTCACCTGCTAATGTTCCCATGGAGTGTCTGAGTGGCCCAAGGCTTCTTGCCTATTTAGCACTATACCACTGAGTAGACTCCAATCTGTCTTTTCTAATGTTGATTTTTTTTCATGTGACCAAAAAAATTAAGTATTGTTAATATTCATTTCTGAAAGGTTTTGTTAAAAATATTAAAATTTAGCTCTCATTTTGTTATAAAAAATCAAATAACTTTCATTTTAAACAGCTTGATAAGATTATACAACTTTAAAATAAAAGGCTAATGTTGATGTCAATCAAAAATGGCTAAAAAGTATACAAACATGCATTCTGAAATTAAATTTCAAGAACGTTCTTCACATGCATAGAGAGTAACATAAAGGAGTAAGAGCTTACATCATCATCTCCAGCAGTGTAGAATGACAAAGTCTGGCTTCCAAGATTAAAATCAATCCAAAATTCCTCAAGTTTTTCATCTGATGGGATCTGCAGCTAATACATAAAAATTATATACTCTGCTTACAAAATTTGGAAAATTGCCATTAGATTATAGCCATGATTGAATTATTTGAGGTTATTTAGGATTCTAGACTCTAGCAACACTTATAAAGGTAGAATAGTCCCTGAGTATTTAAGAGATAAAAGTGTTAAGTAGATGACGACATCAACCTGTCAGAAAATGCTACTTAAATGCTTTACACAGACTATCATTTTAAGTACTAATAGAGATTGAAAATAGTTTGAATATACTTATGAATGATAATCAGCAATGCCTTTAAGGAGAGGAGAAAATGTGGAGAACTACGGTTTGCTGTTTTCCTTCTTGGCTCAGGTGAGCAGGCTCATATTTTTCCTGGTGTCACTGTCATATACAGGACCAGTCAGCTAAACTATCTAAATCTAGTACTTTTAGTGTTTTAAATCATTACATAACCCATAATCCATTTAGTTTTTACATAAAAATTATCTAATAACTCAAGTTTGGATAAATTTAAAACCTACCTCATATTTATCAAGAAATGCTGACAAGCAAGGAAATGTAAAGACCCTAAAACACAAAACATTTTAGTTAAAAAATTTATCTACCTTCCCAGAATTAACTTGTCCAGTCATAAATATACAAATGTCTCTAACTTGTTCAGCCATAAAAAAACGATGTCTCGAATCAAAGAAATCAGAAATTGATTATAAAATTTTAAATAAAATAATCTCTTTAATGCAATTTTTGAGATAGGGTCTCACTGTTGTCTGGGCTGGCCTCAAGTTTGATACCCCTGCTGCAAACTTGCAGCAATTAGCTGAGGTGAAAACCCATCAAGCCAGGCCATTACTATTTTCAACAAATATTTATTGGAATTTGTTTAGGTAAAGAAAAGCATTATTACTTTAAATATACTATTTACTTACAACTTTGACTAAAGGAATTATACCAATTTTAAAAATATATCCTTTCAAACATGAACAAGTGTTTCTAAATTCAATAGGTATCAATACAAGATCCCACAGGACTTGGACGGGTAAAAGGTAGATATGAGTTATCGATTGTTAAAGTGGTTAACTCATTAGAACATTTTTATGGCAAGATACTATTTTAAGTATGTCAGTGTGTTCTGTCAGTCTCCATAACAAACAGAAGCAATAAGTATTGTTAGTATTCTTATGATGCAGCTAAGGAAAATGAAGAAAGTAAGGTTAAATAACAAATAAAAGAACAGATGGGAATTTATGATTCAAATGCAGATATATGACTCATTGAATTTAACCCTATCTCTCACTTCCTTATAAATAATGCAAACAAGATTTATCAGGAACATCATCCCTGGAGCCAAGTACTGTGATGGAATTGCTCTGGGCTGTAGCAAGGGCTCAGCAGTTAATAGCACTTGCTGTTCCTTCCAGGGCACCAGGGCTCAGTTCCCAGCAGCCACAAGGCTTCTTACAACCTTCTATTAACTCCAGTTCCAGGTGATCCAATTTTCTCTTCTGGCTGTTTCAGGACTGTATGTACAAGGAGCGCAGACATACACGGAGATAAAAACACCCATACAAATAAATTTTAATGGTAAAAATTATATTTTATCAGTTCATTCTTGCTTCTGGTATTAAATACTAAAACGTCTACTTATGTTACTTTTACAGTACGAGGATTTTCTACACATTTTCACTCCAGTGCGTAGATGTATAGTCAGATTTTTATCATTCCTCAAAAACCAAATAATATACATACAATTCTGAAGTAGAGTAAACCAAATTTGGACACTCAGTTATTAATATAAATTAAATAAAATGCATTTTTCCTTCCAAGCACAAAGCCAAATAAAGCCTTCAGAAGAGTATTTCAGGTTAGCAGTGTGCTAACTTACTGTATGTTTTATAGTGTCTTGAATGAATTTTTACAGTGCAATAAAAATTATAACATCCATAATAGGGCTCAGCTCTACTTCCTTACTAACAAATGGCTATGAGCTGCATCCAGCTTACCTTCTTTTATCACCAAGCATGCCATTTACCAAGTTGAGAAATATCCTGCAATCCTAGTTTTCAAAAAAAAAATGGTTTTAAAAATCAAAATTACACAAAAGTCTTTACTAAACTTGTTATTTTATGCTACTTACTGTTTCGAATTCACAGTCTCTAATTCCTTTAAATGCATTAGCAATAAAATCCATTGAAAACCACTGACATGCCAGTTCTCGTCTCCTTTTTTCTGTAGTCATTCTACACAAGGCTTCCACAATGCCTACCTGTAATTCATAATCTTAAAAAGATTTGTTAGTTAATGTAGAGGTCAAAACTCTAAAAGTTGAGCTTATAAAACTTGATTTCATAAGGCACAAAAACCAAAAGAAGAAAATAATTTACTAAATTATTCATTTTTATAAAAAGTCAAAGAAATCCCTAAATCTTCTAAGACTCTACCCTGTCATTATAATTATAAATTGGAAAACAATTCATACAACATACAAAACTGTTATGTTTACACTTATCCCAGAGCACATGTTAAAGCCATACTTTACATATAATCACTCAATCAAAATTTACTCACAGGAACCTAATGAAAACTTAAGTCCTTTTTAAGTATATTGTTTAAAAACTGCCTATCAACTACAAAAATATTGGACATTATAATTTTAATATGTGTCATTTAGGAAAATTTTAGCACAAGTAATTCTAATAAATTGCTCATAACTAAAACTAGGCATGATTATATTTATCTAATTTTTGTTGTCATGATAAATTATTTGTTCCAAGACATGTCTTTATTTTTATGATTCTAATATTTTCCTTTGGTTTACATAAACAGATTATAATTATTTTGGTGTATTATTCTAGTAACATGAAGGCTAATAACATCTTCAAAGGTATTCAAATGATTTCAAATTTTGGAAAGAGATACTTACCTCCTACATACAAAATCCTCTCTCCCATGTTACTCCTATGAATTAAAATAAGAAATTATATACTGAAGTAATATTAGATAGTAAGCCTATTATGTTTTGGGAAAAACATTTAAAATCTAGAACAGACTAGTATAACTGACTTTAGGAGAAAACATAAGTGCTATATTAAATCAAAAATTATAAAACTGTCAGTTGATTATCTAATTAAAACTCATGGTTACCATGTTTCTTACAACTGTTAAATTGAACAATTGATCAAAACAAGTTATTAAAAATTATTACATGAGAGTTAGTATTTCTTGATTAGAAAGTATTTTGTTGGCATCTTGAGGTATTCTGTCAAGCATCAAATTCATTTTTTTTAAAGCCTAGAAGAGAAAAAAAAAGCAGCTTTGTTTTCCAAGAAGTATTTGAAGAAATAGGTATATGTACTCAAAAGTTTAGGTTTTCTCTTAATTGTGCTAAGTAGGGAATATGCATCTAGGTGAGGGAGGGAAAGGACTTCCAGTCTAGTGCGGGCTGACTCCCTTACTGAAGCTTTCACACCCACTGTGAAATAACACATTCACCATTCTAAAATCTAAGGGGGGGTAGGTATGTTCTTATGGTTATGCATATACGCATGTACACATACAGGACTACATGCTACTCTGGCATTTACATACTAAAGTTTAGGTTCTCACGTTAATGATATACATATATAAATCTAGTTATAGATTGTTAATGAATATTTAGAATATATATGATCAGGCAATGAATTATTCAGACAATAGAAATAAACCCAATGAAATAAATTTAGGAAACTTAGTCTAAAAGTTGCTATTTCATTTTATCATTTACTTTCTCATTTTTAGGTGTTAAAAGACAGTTACCTCCTGCTGAATGCAAACATTCACTCTTGAATCAATAACAAGGGCACAGATGCGAGCTATGAAACTTTCCAATACTTGGTTTTTACCTGAATAAAAATGATAAATTATTGGCAGATGTTAATCTTAAATCAATTTAACAGTCACTTGCTATCTGAAAAACTGACTCATTAACTTTCAGTCATACCACAAGCATTTTATAAAAGAAGTCAACATTTATCTCAAGAATCTCCAAGTGACTTGAAGGTTTGGGATTTTTTTGTTTTTATTTTTGTGGTTGTTGTTAAACCCTCAACTTTTAGTTATTTGCTGTTGATACCAGCTAGGAAATCAGTTTTTTTCCCCCAATGGAATGTTACTGGGTATTATTAACCACACTCCAAGCAGGCCCCAAAACCAGGAGTAGATGTCCAACATAAAACGGACCTCATTTTGTTGAGGAGGCACCTTTTGTTTTCTATCATTACTTTTTCATTTTTTTTCTTGAGGGAGGAAGGATAGAGAGAAAGAGAAAAGAAAGAAAATGAATAAAGCTGAGTGGACAGGGAAGTGGGGAGGATCTGGGAGGAGTTGATGGATGGGAAAACAGATATAGTACATGAAAAATAATTTTAAACAATTTAAAACCATCTTTTAAAAATAGGTTAGTAATACTTAAATATATTCAGAGGAATTTGTTAATGCCACTTTATAACATATTTGAAAAAAGTTTTAGGAATGGGAATACCACAAAAGCAAAATTACAGCTTTTCCACGTAACCATACTCAACTCAAATGAAAAGCTATATGATTTTCTTTACAATATGAGTGGGGCTCAGTTTACAATGTTAGCACTCTTAGGATCATTCTTTTCTGAGAATTTAAATTGTTATGCTAATTTAAAAACACAATCAATGGAAAGGTAGCAATAACTATTATTTAAATCATTAATTTGCTTAACATAGTTTGCCTCTGAGAATAATACTATGTATGTAAGTGATTCACCAGCCTTAGTTACCAACTATGAGGAAGTCTCCAGGGACAAGAAATAATAAGTAACCTGGACCTGGTCACTTAGCATAATATACTTGTGATCTATAAATAAAAGTTGGCAAGCTTTAACATATTCTTCATTCTTTTACCAATGAAAATTTTATTAGAACAAAAGCTGACAAACTATGTTAAACAAAACAAATGAAAAAAGTCATTTAAAAAAGTTTTAAAGATTAAAATAGCTTTCGTTTGCCCCAGCTTAAAAAAAAAAAAACTATAGCTGACAAATCCAACTCTGCTTACTTTGTAAGGCAGAACTAACTTTCAGCAGGCTCTCTTTGGAAACCATCTGCATCTATCCCATATACTGGAACAGGACCAAAGGTGAGCTTCACTCACTCTGAACTTAGTCTGTTAGCTATGTGTATTTTATCTACTTGCCAACCGCACAGCAGACAAATGTCCCAGCACTGGCAAACTATCGTTTTCATACTAAAAACCAGACTAAAAATTATTCTCAGCAAGAGCCATCTTCAACCTTATTACCAACTTTTGTTAGAATTGAAAATGTTGGTTAATGAATTTAACTTCCAATTATAACCTAAGTTATCATGCCCTACAACATATTGTGCCCTGTGAGACTGACTGGTTTACTAGCAGTTAGCAGCACTGGATTCCACTTTGAGGTCACGGATGACTCTACACCTGGTGGACAGATAAACACCATCCTTCAGTGATACCCAAAAGGTACATACAACTTATTCTGCAAAGCAGAAAGAGGGCACTCTATAAATTTATTCAAGTAAACTGAGACTGTAGAAGTATATAGGTGCATTAAAATCCTATCAGGAAAACTAGGCCTGAGAACTTAGTGGCCAAGGTAGACTTAAGAAAGGAAATGATTCTGTCACTTATACTCTAATGAACTTATTATCCAGAAAATCTGACACATAGGAAAAACATTACATGTTTTTCAATGTTTCTGATATAGTGAACACATAAAAATCCCTAAGTCAGGCATTTTGAGCACATGCCTGTAATCCCAGCATTCATTAGGTGGCAGCAAGAGATCAGGGTCTCAAATCTCTCAGTTACATAAGGAGGAGTGGCCTGGGCTAGGTGAGATCCTGTCTCAAAAAATGTGTGTGTGTGTGTGTGTGTGTGTAACACACACATACATATAAAACAAAATGCCCTCTGCATATTTGTGAAGGAATGGAGATCTGATATGTGTGTGTGTACATACATACATATATCCATTTCTACACAAATATGCAGCAGGCATTTTTTCCAATTTCCAACTTGCAGTCCAGCAATTTTGGTACAAAGTACAGCTGCTATATTCCAAGCCCATTTATTGTGGCTGAGGAGATTCTACATCACCTTCAGTGGGAGTAATGACTTTATTGTAATGCAGACATTCTAAAGAGCAGACACTGCAGCAAGTACCAGAATTCAATTAATATTTCATGTGATAGACATTTTTAATTAAAATATTCCTTAACTGATTTTCTTGAAGGCCAAATACAGGTCTTTTCTATAAGATATTTAAAAACAAAATCTTGGATCCCTAAATTGCAAAATATTGTTTTCTGCCTCATTAGAAAACCCATAATACAAAAACATTCTCAACTGTACCCATATATAAGTTTTGGATTTGTTTTCTTATATGAAATACCTACCTAATTGTCTGCATTTTCTCTTGGCCTACAAAGTCTAAAATTTTCTACCTGGTCCTTTACAGAAAACATTCGATTCTTTAATTAGATCATTAAGTTCCTAGGACAGTATTATGGGTATTAATATACTAAAAGTTCCCAGTAAGATGTTTTTATGGAAATAAGATATTTTACCTTCATCGTTGATGTCATATACAACCTAAAAAAAGTAAATATTTAATTTATAATCTATTCTAAAAGCTATTAAAATAAAAATTTTAATTCACAGCATAACTGTTTATTAATAAATTATTTAATACTAGTCAGTTCAAATGCTTTATCTGCTCTAGACAAGATCAGTACAAGTCACTAGCCAATCTACTAATGATTCTTAAACCAAAACAAATAACTTTCTAATAAATTCATGATCTTTAACAATGTCACTTTTACCATCAAAAGATCAAATAAGTCTTCTATCATATTCGTAACAGCTTCATCTTTTGATTGTCCTTGGCTCAGAATAACCTCCTTGGACTTTTCAAACCAGGAAACCATGTAAAGATGAATACATATATTAAGTTATTTTGAATTCCATTTTAATAAATTTTATATCCTTGTATTTGTTTAGTCGATAAACCTAAGAATAAAATGACATGAAAAATAAAAACTCTAGTATTGAATCAAAGAAATTTTACATTTTACAATGTCTTGTATTTTTTTAACTTACTCTTTTTCCTCACTGTTTAAAACAGGAATGAACTTAATTCCATTACAACAGCCCTTACAGTTTCCTCTTTAAATTTTTAATAAGATACACTTATTGTAAAACTATCAACACAGTTTATATTATCTGGGTATTTTTAAAATTAGTTTACCTTATTTGATTCAGATATGAGTACATGTCAGAGGTACTAATCAATGTGCTGTTATATGTCAGTGAAAATACAAATATTAGTGTCTTATATGTTAGTGTGGGGGTCACGTAGTTAACAACCTAAATGACTAGGTCTTCAGAAAATGATCCAAATAAAGGCCCATTGGCATCAAATTCAAGGAGTTGTCAAGAAACCTGTGCAGTTTCATTCTGATCTTTATCCTTATAACATATATCCAACATCATAAAAATATTCTCGACAGTTCTATTTTAAAGTTCCTAATTTTACTTTCAGCAGTTTGGACTACTTTTTTAAACAGTACCTTTATCACTCTACCTCTATCATTATCAGATTTCCTTCTATGACTATGTACTTATCTTTTGTACTAATCCTTGCTTTATCATGGTTAGAAGTCCAGCTTGTCCCAATATAAAGATATTCTTGCTGCATCTCCCAACAGATACCAAGATGTTTGAAACAGTTGGAATATTCTTTTTGTTAAGTTCCTAAAACAAAAAGTATTTAAGTGCAGCAATTTAAATACAAAGTAGTATGGGATACACACTGTTCCTGGAACAGCATCAGTTTACAATCCTCAATTCTAAAAGGGAGCCGTTCTTATCTTTACAATGGAAATGATAAGACTGGCTTCATAAAGCAACTTGTCCCAAACCACCCCACTAAGGGCAAATGGTGAGCACTCCTCTGCAGGACTCAAACTCTATGGAAGCACCTGTCCCTCTCATTTTAAAGAATGAAACTCAATGACTGACTGACTTTGAGACAAGGTCTTACTCTATAGCTGAGACAGGCCTGAAACTTGTGGTATTCCTCCTGCCTCAGCATCCCTACGCACTAGATTACAGGCATGAGCTACCATAAATAGATTAGAAATTCTTATTTAACCAATGATTCATCACCAATCTTAAGATACTTGGAACCAATTTGTAGTTACCTTTTTCTTAATCTAAATAAATTTCAGAAATGTTAAATCAAATCCAAGGTCCTGGATTATTTTGTGTTCGCTTTATTTTTTAAATTACCAAGCACTGCATACCACCAGAAATATGCCAATAGGTATTTGTAAAACCTTTCCCTTCAGATTTATAATAGAACATAGATTCTTATAAGTTTTACTTTAGAAACAATTTCAGCGTATTAATGCCTCAAATAAACAAATGGCGAGATAAAACATCTAAGTAACTCTAAGCAAACTTGTCCAAGGTTTTTCTCTGTTCTATTTTTCTAAATGAAGTACTTCCTAGAAACTAAAATCAAATGTAGTAATTTTAAGAGCCATTAAACAAGAATGAGTGTTTACCCTGCATATTAAGTCATCCAACTTGCGGAGGAATTGTTTGCTGCATTTAATCTTCACATTTTCATAAATATCAATTTGTACAAGTAACATCAAAGGTTTGAAGTCATTTTTTCTCAAGGCATCATCAATACACTTCTCCAGCTGCTGGAGAGAGAGAGAGAGTTAACAGCACAGACATTCCAACAAATTTAGTCTCTTCATGCAACTGAGTCACCAAAGATGGTTTTTGAATGAAATTAATCAGCTCATAAAATATCTTCTTAAAAAAGCCTATTACTATTCAGAGTAACTGAATTATAAATGTTCTTTAGTAACAATTTCAAATAGAAAATATTAAAGTTTCCAATTTATATTTACATCTTCACTGACTCCAAAACTAAACAAAAATCAAATCAACATTATAGCAACTATACTTAAACAGGAAACATCCTAGCATACCTTAGTACAAACTCTGTAATATTTAATAAAACTGCATCAAGATGAATTTACCCTTCTAAAATTTACATCCATTAATTCAACCTACATATTACCGTAATCCAACTTTTTTTTAAAGATTTATTTATTTATTATGTATACAGTATTCTGTCTGCTTGGATGCCTACAGTCAGGAAGAGGGCACCAGATCTCATTACAGATGGTTGTGAGCCACCATGTGGTTGCTGGGAATTGAACTCAGTACCTCTGGAAGAGCAGCCAGTGCTCTTAACCTCTGAGCCATCTCCCCAGCCCCCGTAATCCAACTTTTATCAAACCCGCTATCCCCACTATTACAGTCCAGCATTCAGACTGCATTCTGTTCACTAATCAGACTTAGTGATAAGATACATGTATATAAAATGTAAGAATCACACAATTTAAAACTTATCTGTCTAGGTATAATACATTAATCAGTGAATGACTTTTTAATACTGAAAGCACATAAAGAATCAATACCTTTTGTATTTTATGCTATTACTAAACTTTAAAGTATTTTTAAGATACAATATTTAAATTACTCTTCAATGTCATAAAATATTGAGTTTGTCATTACTAAAGATACAGCAACAGACAGATGTAAGTACACAAAGTTATTTTAGTGATTAAAGTGATTGCTTGTTGTCTAGGGACTACATACTTGTAAGTCTGGTCTCACAGGCATTTTTACTTCATTTAAGAACAGCAGCAGAAGACAGACACCTATGAAAGAGAACATCTTATGTACCATATTATCTACCATATAGAACAGTTTCTTAAAAGTCCTTTCTAAATATTTGTTGTATACTTTAAATTATATATCTTGTACAAATGTGTTTAGTTTTTGTTCCTAAGACAAATTAAAATAATTTTGAATAACTGATGAATCAATGAGGAAATTAACATGAAAGTAGAAAAGATTAAGAACAATTCATTCAGAAAAGGAGAAACTCAAAACCCCAAGTGACTAAGAAAAAGATGTTACCTCTATAACAGAATTTCTAATTAAAAGATAACCAATAGCAACACTCACTGGGCTGGCAAAAAAAACTAAAAAGCCTAATTATGTGGAAAACAGGAAATGATGGGTATCAATAATATCTCTACTTTTCCTCAAAGTGCAAACAGAAAAAAAATTTGTGTTTCATAACATGCAGTCCCAAGTCTAGTTTTATACAAACAGAGGTCTAAACAGTACTGAATTTTTATTGCACTACTGCCTGTAACAGCAGGAACCCTACCTTTGTTGATGTGGTGGGGAGAAAGCAGGCAAATAAATGTAATGTGCACAGGATACAGCTCAACACTTACACATGTAGTTCAATAACTTGTCTATCTCAGAATGAGGCCCATCTCAAAACAGGATAAAAAACAGAAGTCAAGCGAGACATATGATCTCTCAAGAGAGCGTCTGTAAAAATTTTAAACTACACATAAGAGCAAGCTATATTCTATGAATACCACCTGTGTATGTGTTAAAAATAAAAAAAGGTGGAAGGATTCAAATGCCAGGTCTATGGGTGTGGGCTATTTATACCAATAGTGAGAAACAAGGAGGAATCTGGATAAAACCGGCAAAACAAAGACAAAAAAGGGTTTTGGGAAGGACAGAAGCTTCCTGTATATGAGCCAGCCTCTTCTCTTTGTTCCTGAAAAGACATTCATTTTATTCAAGCTCCTTTATCCGAGATCATAAGATTTTTCTTTTTAATGAAGTCTCTTATCTTAAATTATTCCATCAAAAATGTTGGTAGCAGTTAGCTAGCAACTATTAGAATATTTCTCATTACTATAAAAGAGTAATGTACTTAAAAATGTCAGTTACTAAGTCATTTGAAGGCTCATATATATAAGGTCAATAGTGAATTCTAAGAAAAATTCAATATACAAGAAAGTATTTTAAATACATGTTTTTATGAAACATTAAAGTATTTTGAACATAACTATTGTTTCAATCCTAATGATTGTCAAAAAGTGGTTATGACAGTGATTGTTAGAAAATGAGTATATAAAATGTACTAATTTATAAATTAAGTAGGTCTTTATTGCTTATCCAAAAATCACTAACCCACGATCAAATACTCATAATGAATACATTAAGTTAGAGCAGGTTATTTTGCCAATAGTTATAAAAATACCATAACATCCCCCTTTCCATTTTACTCCAGTTAAAATGAAATTCAAGACTGAACCATTTCATTTACACCTTGAAAATGTGACTGAAAACTATTATTTAAAATATATTGTAGCGATCTGGTGAACTCTTGTTTCCTGAGGGCCAGCAGCTGCCAGCAGCCGGGTCGTGTCTCACAATCGCAGTAGCGCGGTTTTCCCAAAAGCGCACTGGGCCAGGACACACGGCGCGGAATTAGGTCGACAGTTCTAGTTTCTAGCCGTAGAATTTTGAAAGGAAGCCAACCACGGAAATTTTAGTTAGTGTCTAACTATTTTCGTTTTGCTTTAAGAAGGAAAAATAACCCAGGTCCACTCCCAGCATCACTGGAAGAATGCTGGCGGCCTCAGAGCTAAACCCGTTCTGAGGGAAAGCTAAACGAACGTACTTGGCGTTCCGCCACCGTTTGAGAGCCTTCAGGAGCCCCGAGTGTGAGCCCGGAGGGTGGGGACCCCGGCAGGGCGGCCTGGCGCTCGGCTGGGGCCCGAGCGGTCCCGACAGACAAGGCCGCACTCGGGCACGTGGCGGCCTCGCGGGGGCGGTGCTCGTGCCCTCCGAGAGGACCCCGCGCGGCGGCCGAAAAGGCCCACGGGAGTCACGGGGACCCGTCCACACCAGAGGCCCCGCCAGGGCCCGCGGGGGCGGCAGAGGCCGCGGCCCGAGCCCCGCCATGGCGCATGCTGGGGCCTCCCACTCGGGGCCCGGCCATGGCCCGCGCGGGCCTCGTGCCTCAGCCGCTCCTCCTCCGTGAACTGAGGCCGCCGTGGCCGCCCCGCCGCCCCCATCGCTCCGCTCGTCCGCCCCCCGGGTCCCAGCGCACCCCAGCCTGGCGGCCGCCTACCCGGTCTCCTCCGAGGGCTCCGGACGGACGGGCGTCGAGTGTGACCGACCGCGCTTCCTCCTCAGCCTCCTCAGCGCCAACGGAAAGCGGGAACGGCTCGTCCAATCAGCGCCGCCCAACCTGGCCACGCCCCTTACCCGCGTGTTGTTTCCTGGAGGAGCTGCGTGCTTTCCATCCCAGATGACCTCTGACCTGTCCGCTACAGGTCCCCGGAGGGAGGAGACGGTGCTGCTGCGGGGCCGCCCGCCGGCAGGGGGCGCTGTGCTGTGGCGCCGTGCGGGCCCTGGCCTGTCCAGCCTGGTGAGAAAACTCAGGCCATTAGGAGAGAGGGCCTGCACGCGGTGCGGGCTCCACCACTCCTCAACGAAGCCGTCCTTATGCCTCTGTGTTCCAACCACAGGGGCAGTGCTGTGGCCCCTCCGTTTTCTCTGTGCCCTAAATGTATGGTGGCCCCGTCCTTTTGCCAAAGTGCACGGGCATGCATGCCGCTGCCCGCTTTGGAGTTGCATCTATCCCCAGGACAGACAAAAGGCCTTTAGTCAACCCTTGGGTTATCCTGCGCCCCGTGGAAGCCGTAGAGGCTTCGCATAAGGAGAGTTAAAAGTGGATGGTACCAAACCAGAGTTTAAAATGGCATTTTCAGTAACAGTTTGACTTGCTATCTAAAAAAGCAATATCTTTTGTTGTTGTTGTTTTGCTTTTTAAAGCAGATTGGGCTAGGGTGAAGTTCAGCCGTGGTCAGTGTGCAGCAGACCCAGGTTTCAGTGGTGTTTTCTTAACTTGTCCTGAGGGATGAGATCGCATGTCTACTTTCCCCTGATAGGGTTCCAATGGCAGCCCAAACACTGGCTTCCACCCTCATCTCGCTTAGATAGCAGAACTTGCTGGGCCTACTTACAGGATGCAAGCGATCTCGAAGCAGCAGGATCACCGAGCAGCCTAAGGCAGCATGGACGATTAATGACTTCCCCATACTTGCACCACCAGAGGAGCACTTCTTGTGATAATCTTCCACCGTTATAAACTCTAGCGCCACCCAAGCCCACGAGGCCACGCGCAATTAGAGCAGAATTGCACACAGCTGGAGGGGGCACGCGGACGGCGTGGAATCTCAGGTGGGGGCCCTGTGATCCACCTCACCCAGTTCTATGAAGGAATGCCAGTAACCAACAGGTCAATCTTGAAAGAGTCTTACCGATTGTAACAGTTACTCTAATGAAAGCGATGGCTGACCTGCTCAGAGGGTAGCCTTTCACAAGAGGCCGGCACACATAATTCTGACTTAAGTGCTTTGGGAAGCCCTTGGAAAATAAACACACACAACAACAACAACATCTAAACCCCTGAGGAACGAAACAGTGCAAATCACACAGATTATGAACTGCAGTGTTTCTAACTTTAGCTTAGCAAGAATCACAGACATCGTTACAACTTTGTGCATTGTTAAACTGAATTTTGAGCAAGTTCTTCCTGGAACCCAGGGCTTCATGCACGCCAGAAAAGTGATCTAACATTGATTTATACTTCCAGCCCTCTTTGTACGTTCTGACACAGCTTCTAAGTTGCCCAGGTATGCAGCTTGAACTAGAGATCCTCCTGTCCCAGCTTCCCAAGTGGCTGGAATTACAGGTCCAGGGAGATCCTAATTTAAAAAAAAAAAAAAATTGAAGCAACATATGCAGTTGACTGGCTTTTATTGGGTGAATAAACATTTAGTTTCCAATGCTTTTTGAATTAGTTACACGTGTAAGTACTAAGAGTGTATAATACAAAATGGAAGATGGGAGTGAGCCAGCCTCATGACCTGAGCCTTGCACCATGACTGTCACACTCTTCTTTCTTGTAATAGACTTACCATCTTCCATGATGCAATCTAGTGGTTTCCCAACTAGCTGCTTGTTAGCAGAGGCACAAGCGTGTCTTTAAACAGTGACACGAAGGAACAGATTATCACTCCTCTTCCGAGGTTTTTGTCAACTCATCACAAACCTAGACATCTGGGAAGAGGGAATCTCAGCTGAGAAAATGCCTTTATAAGATCGTCCTGTAGGCTGGCCTGTGGGCTATTATCTTAACTAACAATTGATGTGGGAGGTCACTGTGGGTAGTACCAGCCCAGAACAGATGGTCCCAGGGTGTATAAGCAGGCTCAGCAAGCCATGGGGAGCAAGCCAGTAAGGTAAGCAGTACTCCCCCATTGTTGTAAGGAGGCCTCTAGTTAGTTCCCGGGTGCTCAGCCCCCAATTATCACACAGGAAATATATTAATTAAATCATTGTTTGGCCCCTTAGCTTTAGCTTCTTATTGGCTCTTACATATTAATTTAACCCATCTCCATTAATTTGCGTATCACTACTTGGCAGTGGCTTACCATCTAAAGTTCTAACTCTGGTGTGGCTACATGGCTTCTCTCTAACTCTACCTTCTGTTTCCCAGGATCCAGTTTCATTTCCCTTGCCTACCTCTATTCCCTGTGCAGGCCCAAGACAGTTTTCTTTATTAACCAACGGTGTTCACAGCATACAGAGGGGAATCTCACATCACCCCCTGGCTTTTGCTTCAGTTCCTGCCTTGACTTCTTGTCCTGACTTCCTTCAGTGATGGACTTAGATGCAGGAGTCCAAAAGGAAAAACTGCTTTTCCTCCCGGATTGTCTTTTGGTCATGGCATTTTATCACAGTAATAGAAAAGTAAGACAACTCATTTCCTCTTACCCAAACTGGGTTTCATTGAAAGGTTTTAGACTGTGATGTTTGAAAGAAAATCTTATTAGTCATTATCAAAATTTGGTTTCTGGTCACCTATGTTCTCTGCGGTGCCAGAGATTAAACCTCTGGCCTTGTGTGTCAGCCGAGCTAAGAGCATTTCCTAGCCCTTTTCAGGTAAGTGTAACAATCTCTTATCAGAAACAGATTGTGGGCCAGATGAGTTCTCCCGGCAGGAGCAGCATGGGGCTGGATAGTCGATGGGTTGCCCACTCTGAGGCAGGCTGGCTGTGGGAGAGCTGAAATTTGCCTCTCTGAGCCTCTTCAGCTAAGAAAGCAGAGGTGTCAGCCAGGCAGCACGACCGATTCATTCCAAACACACCAAGAACCTAGCGTCTTGGCCGAGAAAATGAGACAAGGCATGCCGAATGCCAGGTTGTTTGTTCCCCCTCCTTAATGTATGGAAGACTTTGTACTTAGCTGTAAGTCCTAGTGCAGGCCAGGATCCACAGGAGTCACCGGGGAATATAAGGAAAACACAATTATCACAGCCCCTGTACTCTGGCTCAGTAGGGTAAGAGGTTTTGGTTTTATAACACACACTGTTGTACAGAAGTATCCCCCATGCGAAACGACTGCCATTCTCTTTGAGTTTGGCTGGGCCTGCTTGCCAACAGTGACCACAGCTGGGATTGTTCACTGTTGACCACTCTTCTTGGTGGGGGGTGGGGGAGGTGGGAGAGGGAGTCAGAAAGGGTGATAGGATCCTCACCTGAGTGCAGCCAGCCACCCCTCCCAACCAGCTGCATGCAATTCTGCCCCAATTGCAGCGGCCTCTGTGTCTCTGGAAAGAGCTAGGGAAGTAGTTCTCGATCTTGTGGGTCGTGACCTCCACAGAGGTCACACATCGGATATCCTGCTTATCAGTTATTTATACTATGATTCATAACAGTTTCAAAATTACAGTTACGAAGTAGAAATGAGATAATTTTATGGCTGGGGTTACAACATGAGGAACTCTATTAAAGGGTTGCAGCATTAGGAACCACCGGGCCAGAGGATAAGGGTGGGGAAGGATTATGGGAGAGCACTCTATCTGCGTAGATTTGGGGGCATCTTCATCACTGCTGGATGTCCCAGTATGGCTGTTTTAAGGTCACCCCTGCTCCTGCCATAGCCTTTACCCATTGCTCCGAAATAAGCCCTGTGAACTCATTGACTCCCCAGAATAAACTCTGGTAAAATTGCACCTTGCCTTTTTATTGAGGTAGGAGGAGGGGTGGACTTTAAGTCTCCCCAGGGAAGGTATTTTAGCAACACATATACAGCTCTGCTACGGATGCAAGACGGTCCAGTCCTCATGCATGTCTAGGGAAGGATGAGACGTCCATGTGAAATGATCCAAACAGCAAGACGCTCCAAAACTTTGTCTTCAGAATGACACACACCAGCTTAACAAAGGGACAGTTTTGCACGTATACTTTAATATTTAGGTTTGAATAAAATAATTTTAAGTGACAGGCAGTTAAATACATTTGGGCAGACAGCCCTACAAGTGTACGATCCACACAGTTTTAACATCTCAACAGTCTAGGTGTGTCTTGGGGTCAGAGAGTTCACTCTGAGTTGTCTTACACAGCTTTTACTTATTTATTTTTCAATCAAGCATAATTGTCCTTAGGCTTTAGATTTCAAACTTGGTTGTCTTAAAAGGCACCTTGAGGCTCTCTGGACTCTGATGATATAGCGTTACTTTTCTGTAACCAGACCCTTTGGACAAATGGTCGGCTTTCTCATGCACTGTGAAACTCTACTGCTGTGAAGCAACAGTACTCGACAGTTCTAACTTTTACCTGAAGAGCCGGGGCCGTTATCTTGCATACTGGACAGAAGCCAAGGACAGAGCAGCCTTGACCCCTTGGGGTTTTCTGACCTAATTGGACAGTTCATTAAGCAGCAGGCAATGCCTCTGGGCTCTTCTCACTCTCGAATGTCAGCGTAGTGCAGGGTCCCAACAGCCAAAGGCTGTGTCGCTCCATCCCGGTGTTTTCATTCAAAACTCGTCTGAGAGCAGAAAACACCATGGAAAGCCAACACTGTTTGGAATTTTAAAAGGCAGGAGTTTCAAGTATCAAAACCAAAGAGGTTAAAGGGTAAAAATGCACCCTTTCCATGCTGGTTAAACAAACATCAACACCGAACCAGGGACAGGAGTCACCAAGTCCATCACAGGACTTCCACTGTCTCAAAAGTCACATCTGGGGAGGTCTCGCCCACCTCAGATGGTCTTGCCTCAATTCTAGCGCCTGCTATCAGAGAGGCCACAACTCAGCACCAAGAAGATTTGCCAGCCCCTCCATGGGAGTTTTAAGCAGCAGGGACATCCTGCAAGGAACAGTGAGTGGTCTGGACCAAGTTGGAGGTTTTTGGTTGTTGTTTTGAAAGCATTTAACATTTTAAAAATGGGAAATAAGCCCATAAAAAAGTCAGCAACTTTCCTAACTGAAGGCACAGGGAATAAAGTGGCAGGTGGCTGCAAAGCCAGAGGGAACAACACAATTTAAAACCCCTTAGGTGCATAAAAACCTGGGAATTGCTTTTCCTCCAGTGCCCTGGCTATTTCTGAAAACACCATCCAGGTTCACTTAAAAGTTGACTTGCAAAACACGAAGGCTGGACTCTTCCCATGCTTAGAAGTAAAAAGTCGTCTCTTTCGTGGAAAAGGTCACTGGGAAGGGTACTCCTGTCTGAATCCCTGTGGCCACTTGAAAACAGAAATAACTTAAGGCAAGCTCTTTTCAAAGGTTCAGGTAGTTTCAAACAAACAGAATATGGCCCGTAACTGTGCAGACCCAGCACCAGACCGGAAGACAAGCACATGAACGGGGTCCCCGTGAAGCACTGTTGGGGCACACCGCACTTGTGGAACCCTCTCAGTCCCCTCCTTCCCAGCTGTTGGTGTGGCAGGAATCGCCTAACCAAGGCAGCCTCGAAGCCCAGAAATGGCCGTGTGATGACAGATGAGCTATAAGTTTCCCGACTATTAATAGTTTCCACCGTTGGAAGGCTACGAACACTGGCAAGCAGACATAGTCTCAGGTTTTTACCGTCCCAGGGCAGAAATGCCTCGAGGGACCACAGTGTGGGCCACACGGCCTGCTTTAGGCTTACTGAATCTGGAGTATTCCTGAGAAGGCATCGACTATGGGCGCAGACTAACTTCACAATAATAAATAACAGCCACTCGTGTTTAGACACACCAAGGAGACATGCAAAAGGCCCTCCCTGCAAAACACCTACCTGGGTCCTCTTGAAATTAAGGACCACAGTCCCATGCATCTGCCCTCCCACACCCTCCCCACCAAATGCACTACTCAGGCTCCGGGTCCTCTGGCCACCAGGCTCTCCAGACAATTCACTAGGAAACAGGCCAGGCCACCGCTGCAGAGTTTGACAGACTGCCGAAAGGAAGAGTGGGGTGAGAGGTGGCCACTCAGAGATCAGTACCCGCGGGGAAGTGACCGCAGTTCTGCTGACATGGAAGCTCCAGGTTCACAACCAGCAGCTCAGATGAAGTGGATCCAGCTCTCTTCGCACTCCCCGCGTGGCATGTGCAGGGCATGACTGCGGCAAGTAAGGCTATAGTCGCGACCATCGTTGTTGTCCCAGTACTCAGCACCAGCCACGCGGTAGCGCAGTGCAAAGAGTACGTGGGAGCCGAGCTCCAGCAGGAAGGGTGGCACGGGAAAGCCAAAGGCAAAGATGTCCTCGGTACCCTCGGTACCCGCAGGCCCTCTCCAGCGAGCCACGGCCTCATGAGCACTGCGCCAGCCAGAGTAGGTGTAGCGTACTGCTACCTGTTTCTCGAAGGCCACGTTGCGCACGCGCACTGTGCCGCTGATGCCCAGGTCCGAGCAGGTGACACGTTCCAGGCACACCAGCTGCCTTGCCAGACGATCTCCAAAGCCGGGGGCTTCGACCGGCGGGGGGAAGTCGGGAACCAGGCACTGCAGCTTGAACTCCAGCTCCTGGCTGCTGCAACAGAGGTCCGAGTTGATGGCGAGGCGCGACAGCACGTGCAGTGGCACGGACGGGTCGTCCCCTGTGTTGAACACCTTAACCTGCGTCAGCTCCAGGCCCAGAGCGTCAGCGAAGCGCACACGGAGCTGCCGGTTGCAGCCGGCTCGGCACGTAGCGCTGGGAGCTCCCGCAGCTTTGGCACGGCGCTCGGGGGAGCTGGGCAGGGAGCGCGCGCGCCGCTGGATGATGGGCTGCAGCCGAGGGTCGCAGCCCGGGGGTCTGCAGGGTCGCGGATCCAGATCCGAGAGACAGCTGAAGCTCCGAGGAGCGTGTTTCCCTAACCCCGGGGTCGGGGGCAGCGGGGTAGAGCCCGGGCCTCTTGACATGGCCCAGCCGGGGGCCAGGGAGGGCGTCCCAGCCTAGCCCCTGGGCGTTCCGGTAGCACAGCCTTTGGGAGCCCCGAGATGCCGCACCCTGCACGGAGGCTGTCCGCTCGCGGCCTGGCTCCGGTCTCAGCGGCTAGCGATCTCCTAGGGCGGACCTCACTCTCCAGAGCTGCTTCCCGGAGCGCTGAGCCCTGCCGGGTGGCGCCTGCTTCTCCCTGATCTTCCGGGCGCTTACGGGAAGCCCGGGAAACCCAGCAGCTCTGAGACTCAGCAGCCCGCAACTTCTCAAGGCGCAACTTCCCGGCGCGCCCCCGCCGAGCCCCGCCCCTCGTGACGCCGCCTGCCTGCGGGCACGTCCCGCTAGCTTGCCCCGCCGCCCCGCGTAGCCCCACGCTGCCGGAACCCCGCTGCCTGCGCCAGCCCGGCCGGCCGCACCCGCCCTGTCGCAGAACTCCGCAGCCACCCCCCGGGATCCTCGTCACGTGCGCCCAGGCCGCGGAGCAGGTCTGCTAGGCTTCCTTGGTGCGTTTGCCCGCTCGCTGCACCCATCCATCAGCGATGGTTTCTGCAGCAGAAGACGCGCTGGGTGCTTGCTGCGGGGCCTTGGGCTGGAGGAGTACCGGGTGGGGGCGGGACAGAGCCCAACCTGGGCTGGCCTGGAGACGAGCTGGCCCTAGGACTAGGGTGAGCTTCCAGCCAGCCAGCTTTGGGTCACCTGTCTCTAGCAACCTGGACCAGCGGTCAGACTGGGGTTAGCTTGCTGCTGAGGGAAGCATCTTGCCCACACCTCCCCACCATGCTGTGCCTCCCTATTGGCCGGGCAGCCAGTTCCCTGGGGAGGAGATGGGGGACGTTGCTTCCGTTTGCCGGGCTTGCAGCCAGAGAGGAAGGCTGGGAACAGGGGCTAATGCCCAAGATGGATTGTGCAGATGCAGGAATCTAGGTTCTGGCTGTTGAGGAGCGTGTTTGTAGCCAGAATCTCTTGAGCTTTAGTTTTGCTGCTATGCAAGCTGAAACCATGCGTTCTCTGCTGCTCCCCTCCTCGTATCTCTGTCCACCCCCCCCCATCCTATCCCTGCATCCCGACTGCACCGCAGGCTTTTATTTCTCTGAGGGACTTCACACACACACACACACACACACACACACACACACACACACGTACACACCCCTTCTATGTGTCGAGTTTGTCAGGTAGATGAGGGGCAAGGATGGCACTGCACATTCTAAAGAGGATGCCTGAGTCAGACATTCCTTCTTGGTTCCTTTTCCACTTTACAACATAAAGAACAAGGTAAAAAAAGAGGGTGGCCAATGAATATTTCCTGCATTTAAAAGGAATCAAGCCTGTTGATTGTGGGGTCATTAACCATAAAAGGCTATGATATGATTTTTGTTATCTTCAAATCCAAACCTAAAAGTCTTACATGAGTGTGGTAGTTCCGAAACTCTCCCATGAGTCCACCTCTTTTCCATTTGATAGATGTTGGGGTATTATGAGAGAGAAATATTCAGTTTCTAAGGCCTGCTCGTTCAACGGGCTCCTCAAAAAAAAAAAAAAAAAAAAAAAAAAAAAAAAAAAAAACAGGAACTATGAGTGTGGGGTGGGAACCCGCAACTCATAGTGTGAGACAACATATAGCCCATATTGGAAGTTAATACACTCATGGTCTTTTACATTTAAAAAATTGCATGTATGTGTATCCACACATGAAAAGGCCAAGGGAGGGTGTCTCATGGAACTGGAGTTGCAGGCCTCGTGAGCCAGCCACATAGTGCCGGAAGCTTCACTGGGGTCCTCTGGAGTCTTGAGCCATCTCTCCAGGCCCCCACTGATTGTCTTGTAATGAATTGGGGTGACAGGGAAGTTAGAAGAATTCTCAGAGTGCCTCCCCACTAAAGTTTTATCTCTGTGGGACGAGGGCCTTGAGCAGTCTTTGCATGTCTTAGACTGTCCCGTGTTACTGGATGAGGGGGTGAATGAATGGACATGGGGCTTAAAGGTAATTGGCGAATTTAATTGGCATCATCTCCAAGGAGTGTGTGCACTTGTGTGTAGGTGGGGGGTTCAGGATTCATTCTCAGTTCTCATAATACTGTAGTGTTATACTTAACAGACACAGTGGAGGAAAACATGTAAGCGTTCCCAACAGCCATGTTGGGCAGCTCACACTGCCTGTTAACTCTAGTTCAGGGAGTCTTGGTGCCATCATCTAACCTCTGAGGGCGTCCACACTGACGGATGCGCATCCCCTACCACACACATGTAATTTATGATAAATATTAAAACCGTCAAAGTGTAAACATACAACATTATCCTCCCCCATCTCTCATCTCGTAGTGCAGAATTCTGAGCCACTGCACAGTCACGACTTCAAGGTTTCAATGTGGTACAAATACAAAGATCAAAAACCCGCGGAAAGGCAGCCGCTTGCAGTCAGTACTTACTGTCACTGTTGTGTTGTTTCCAGTTCCGGTGGCTCGACGTCCTTTCCAAAGATAAGGGGAATAAAGAAGCCACCTCCCCAGCTGTCATCATCTGGCAGCAGGTTGAGCAAGACTGTTGTGAGCACTGCAGAGAAGGTGATGTAACAGAGAGGAAATCTTACTTAGATTTGTCTCAGCGCTCTCTCGTTATGTGCTTCAAGTGTGCGTGTCTTCGTGTGTGTGGGTGTGCACGTGTGTGCACGCCCTGTGGCATTGTTTATATTATTTGTATAATAGTTAAGATTATTTTAAAAACCATTAAAAGACGTCAACATACCAAATACATAGTTTCATTCAAGTCCATTCTGGGTGAAACAGTGAATTTCCTGGGGTCACTTAAAGGAACAAGGGTGACTTAAAGAGCACATTACAACAGCCCCCCTCCAGCATGAGGGGCAGCTCAAACAAGGAGCATCCCAGGAGCCCCACCCCAGCTCATCTTCACCTCCTGCTTACTCTGCCACTTCCTGAGACCACAGGCTGTTAGGGAAGTAGGTATGACAAGCTCTAGGCAAGGGGGAGGGGCTCTCAAGTGTGGCTGACAAGCTCCCTCAGTGAGGAAGTGCCCACAGTCCCTATCTTTTTAAGGTGTCCTGTGGCTTCTTTCTACTAGGGAAACTATTAGGCCTGACCTTGCAAATGTCTCCTGTTCTGATTCAAGACAGTAGCAGTCACGAGGATGGCCCTGCTTCTGTGTGTTTGGGCGCGCGTATGCATGTGTGCACATGTACGTGTGTGTATGTTCATGCATGCACGGGCATGTGAATTCACAGCACTTTTTGATAAAAAATCTGTATTTTTTTTTTTTTAGACGACCCATCAAACCTTCGACGATGAGCATCCCTGTGACGTGTTCACGAAAAGGAATAGGATGAGTGACTCTCATCAGAAAAGCAGGTAACTAGTTTCCGGATCCTGTCTTGTCCTACAAAAGGCAGATCCTTCGGTTCTCCTGATTGAACTTCATTTGTGCTTTGTCTGTAGCAGAAATGGGTACGCAAGTCTTTTAAGCTTTAGTTGTTCTTTGTTGGCTTCCTTCTACTAAAAACTGGTATGTATGATGGCAGCTGGTTGTGAACGATTTTTTAAAGATGTTTATTTTTATGTGTATGAGTATTTTGTGTGCATGCACCCCCATGCCTGGTACCTGGGAGGCCGGAAAAGGCATTGGATCCCCTGGAACTGGAGTTAGAAGTGGCTCTGAGCTGCCCTGTGGGTGCTGGGACTGAACCCGAGTCCTCTGCAAGAGCAGCCAGTGGTCTGAACTGCCGAGCCATCTCCAGTTGTGAACTCCCAATGACAGCCATATCTTCCTTTGCGTACACTGACACCTGCACTGATCTGCCGGTCTGTGTGTTAAGAACGTGTGATGTTCAGATACTGTTGAGCAGTCTGGAGAACGCTGCACAGACGGACCTCTCCACTTCCTAGAAAGTACATTTTCCCACTTCTCCTCCCCCATCCATCCTATCATAAGGAAGTGCTGTTAACTTTAGTTAAATAATGTGTGGTTGGGAAATAAACTAAAAAAAGAGGGGGGTGTAATTTCATCTCCTGTGAGTTCCCACCCCAGTTTACAGTACTCTAGGAGTTCACTGGTCCACTAGAAAAGAACAAAAATAGGTGTTTGTTCTCTTCTCTTGCCTGCTGTTCCCAAGACAGCATTCATCCTGTCCGTTTGTGTTGAATTATAATTGTACCACATGACTTTATTCCTAGTCTTATTACATTTTATCTCTTTGTGTGTATATATGCGTGCGCGTGCATGCATGCCACAGTGTGTGTGTGTTTAGAACGTAAGTTAAAGGAGTCGATTCTCACCTTCACCATGTGGGTCTCAGGGATCACTGGGGTTGGGGGCAAAGTTTTCCTGATGGGGCATCTTGTCGTCCTTTCTAGTCTTTTAAACACAACTTTTCCCCGGTGTTGCCCACTTGAAAAGATAGTAAGAAGTGTTTGACTCCTGGTATTGGTTGGCCTGAACAGTGAAAAACTTACATCCTAAAATCATAGTTTTTTCAGAGTCTCTCCTAGCCGGCGATTTAGTGAAATCCAGGCTGGGGAGGCTTAGTGGTGTGGGTGCTTACTGGGCAATTCATGCAAACACCAGGTTGATGTATCAGCCCGCCCACAGTTCCAGCCTTGGAAGGTACAAACAGGAACTCCAGAGCAAGCTGGCCGGCAGGACTAGCCATGTCTGGCTGGAGAGAGCTCAGTGGTTATGAGTACACATGACTTTTTTGTAAGTTTGGCCTCCAGCACCAATATCAGGTGGCTCACAATCTTCTGTAACTCCAGCTTCAGAAGATCTGGGAATGTTTTTCCAAACCCAGCTTCGTTTCTGAATATTTTCAAACAGTGCTGACCACTGGTAGAACAGACCACGAGTCCTGTGACAGATTTTAAAAATGAGTTTTTTAAAAGTATACACAATTGCTCTGAGATTACAAGACAAAGCAATTGAGAAACAGTTAAGTTTTTAAATGTTCACCTTTGTCGCTACATAAAACACGTGTGTCCACATTTGGGGCATGCATTCTCTGCTGGCCCCTGCCTAGAGTACAGAGGGGAAACCGGTTTGCAAACCCTGCTTCTATAAATCACACGGAGGCCTCGTCTTAGTAACTGCTGTAGTGTTAGCAGGAGACTCCTATTTCTCTAATCATCGGTGATCAGACCCCAGTTGTGGCTTTTGTTTTTTAGCAGTATGAATGCTGGCTCATCTTGGAATCAAGCCCAACATTTAAGGACTTCTTCAGGACGAAGGCAGAGTAAGAGTAGATCTCAAGGACCCCACATCTCTTCCCACCTGGGAGGGAGCAGCCTCCTTGGCCTCTCCCAGCCTGCAGCGGATAAACTCATGGGAGCCATTTCCACGGAGGGAAGGCAGGAGCAGACTGCGCTTAGCTCCAGGTGTCAGGCTGCCTCTGGACACAAGCTGTTCCTTGACTTTCAGTCCATGAAGATCATTAAGGAAGGCGCCGATGAGGACAGCGCAAGTGACCTGTCAGACTCAGAACGAGTGGCCATTCCTCCTTCTCCCTTCACGCCTCCTGACCTCAACCTTCGAGCAGAAGAGATCGACCCGGTTTCCTTCAGTCTTCACCCAGACCCGAGCCAGGCAGAAGCTGAACACTGCTACCCTGACTTTCTTCCACCCCCGTTCAGCTCCTGGGACCTCCAGGATATGGCTGTGGTTCTGAACACAGAATGCCGGAGTGAGGCCCTGCCTCGGGCCACGGGCTTTCTTGGGAAGTACATAGACAGACTTCTTCAGCTGGAGTGGCTGCAGCTCCAAACTGTGCAGTCTGAGAAGGCCCGGGCTGCCAAGGCAAGGTCCTCTGGGGCTTCTGGGATGCTGAAAAGCCCTAGGCGGGGTAAGCTCCCCACCAGTGCGCTGTCCAAGCCTTTCCTGTCCCCAGAAGGGATTCCAAAGCCCGGCCCTTCTCGAAAGAAAGGTTTGCAGTATGAAGATGCCCACCCGTCCTACTACGCATTTGAGACTTCATCTAGATCTGTGGATGGGCCTGCTCGCCCCAGGCTGTGTTCTCAGAAACAAGGCCCAGAACTGAGGATGGAAAAAAAGAAGAAATCAGGTAAGGGCCCCAAGTTTCACCTCCGCGCTCCACCCTGTGCGGAGGGCAGCCCTGCAATGGAAGCCAACGGTAACATTCGAATTCCCAAGCAGTCCGCAGTGCTTCTGGACCCAATGGACTCCTGTAGGGCCTCCAGAGCACAAGCACACTTGGACCTGAAGAAAAAGGGGAGTGCAAATAACTGTGGACCTGCTTCTTCTTCCAGTGAGAAGAAGCTCAAAACAAATGGAGCAAAGCAAAGCACATATAAGTTCAAGTGACCCCTGAGGTAAAGAATCGCAAAGACCCGCAGATGTCTAAAAGTGGGGGTTCGTCCCAAAGTAATGGTGAATTTAAATCCGTTTGTGATAACTGAGTCAAGTCGCCGGCTGGCTCTCTAGTCACCCACCCCACCCCACCCCACCCTCGCCTCTTGATATACAGTCTAGTCTTAAGCACTTTAGGGTAAAAGTGAACTCGTGTGTCTGTGATACAAAAGTTTGAAACAGCAGGGCCAGTAAGCCAGTGTGGAACCGGCCCAGTGTCCCTGTCTCTGGAGTACGGGAAACAGTGTGTACTGTTCTTGGAGAGAACCCTGTGTCTCACAGAAGAAAAGCCCTGCTGGCTCAGTGCCTCTTGGTTTTGCATAAACCCTCAGCAGAGTTTCTGTTGTGAGTCTTTCTCTCATCTGTTGCCCACCCTCCTCCGAGCCTAGTTCCACTCCAGTTAGGGGTCACATGAGTTTCTATTTTGAGTGTCATTTATCTCTCAGCCAGTTCCTTGCCAGAGGCAAAGGCATCTAGAGTGCGTCTCTGGTGCGTTTTTAAAAGACATTTTAAGTCCAGGGGTAGTGCTGTAGCCTGTGTCTGAGTTCTCTTACCTGAAGTTAAAATCATTTGTAAGTTTTCCAGAGGGAAAGTCAGCAGGCCCAGCAGTGGCTGCTGCTGTCTGGTGAGGCAAGAAAGAATGCCCTGGCACCCTAGACCTCTGGGTAACCATGCACGGCGTGTGGGAATGTACTCCAGTGTAAATTGTCAGGTTACTGACTAGGGACCCATATCCTGCTGTTGTAGGTTAAAGCCAATGGTCTATTTCTGTGTCTAGGAGCAGGGTCTTCTAATCGTGACTGGGGAGGGAGCAGACACATTTGCTCTGTGTGTGCGTGCACTATCCTGAGTGTTCTTATCTGCTTGTGGCTTCCTGGCTCTCCCACAGCCATCCTCCTCAGCTGCCTTTGAGTCTTGCTGCCTTCCACGTGTTTCTGCAAACCTTTCCTTGGCTGCTGCTTCTCAGACAGTGAAACCATTATTGGACTTGTCTTGGGCACTCATGAGTTTTTTGGGTTGTTTGTTTGTTTGTTTGCTTTGCTTTGCTTTTTCACCTTTGGGGAAAAGGACAAAGGTAGTTTGTTGCAGCTGGAGCTTCCACATAGCTGAGGAATGGGACAAGGTTATCCTTAAACCAGCTGCTGAGGTCAGATGTCAAGCTCTCTCCATAAGGCTGAAGTCAGCCATGTTGAACAACACAGGAACTTTTTTTTCTTTAGCCTTTTCCTTTCAGGACTTTATTTTCAGATTCTTTTTGCACTGCCCTCCTGGAGAAATCATGTTCTTACATGGAGTTCTCATGCCTTAACTCATGTTTGTTTGTTTGTTGTTGTTGTTGTTGTTTGGGGAAAGGTTGAGACAGGGTTTCTCTGTGTAGCCCTGGCTGTCCTGGACTCGCTCTGTAGAGCAGGCTGGCCTCAGACTGCTAGAGATCCACCTGCCTCTGCCTCCTACTTGGTGGGATTAAAGGCGTGCACCACCAGCTGTCTCATGCTTTTTTCTGTAGCCAAAATCTGCATACTTTGTTGGCTGTCCACGGATGCACTGTCCACGTTTGCGCGTGGTGTGCGCCTTGGTTTGGGAGGACAGTGCCACCCCTCACCCTCTTCCCTCCCCTGAGTGAGTGAGTGAGGCCGTGTGGGTCCACTTCCCTACTCCTTGGAGCACAGATGATTTTTACCGTAAGTGGCTCCTTTCTCATTCTTTCTCCAGATTTTTATGCGGATCTTTAGGAAGCTGCAGGTCCCGTAAGAGGAAGCATGACAGACATTATATGCACATATGTACTTAGATGCTCCTTGGAGCAGTACTGCCAGGTTCCCTTTCCTGTCACCTACCGTGTGGGTGCTCCTAGATACCCTGGCACGTGAGAGTCACATTTCTTTTCCCCTGGGGATGTGTGTCGGACTGAAACTCACAACGGAAAAAATGTAGCGATGGCGCCTCATGTGTTTGTTCCCAGCACACTAATGGAAGTTGACTCCTGGTCTGGGGACTAGAAGAGGCCTGAAGGGGTGACTTCTTTGCCTGAGTTGAGTGCCCATGTTAAACAGTATTATGTTCTAGGACAGGGTGCTACTGAACAACACGGTTTTTTTACAGTTACATTGGCTGCAGCTGATGAAACACAGCTTTTTCTTTGGTCTCTAAAGACATATCCCACGCAGGCAAGTGGACAGCATTGAACACTGAACTGTGAACTCCTTCAGTTCAAGGTCAAACCAGAGTATCCTGCTACAGGGGCAAATCGGTGTGCTTCCGGGAGCGCCTCTCATCTCGTAGATGTTTACATAGCTCCCAGGTCCAGTCAAACACAAGATCTGGAGGAAAACAGTGTCTGGGGCTTGAGTGACACCCGTTTGTGGAGAAAGAGCACAAAGCCCTCTAGGTCATCACTGATGGCGTGGCTTTGGACTGTTTCCCAGATGACCAATGTAACTGACTTGAAGGTTATAGCATTCCTGGCTCCCAGACTGCGGGAGAGATGGTCGATACCATTGGTCTTCACGGAAAAGGAAAGTTTGTTTGGATCCTTTGTCCTCTTGGGCTCCTGTTCTAGAAAGACCTAAGAGCTTCTTACATGGTTTACATGTGTGTTTGTCATTCATATACTTGAACAGTTAGGTAGAAGTCCAAACCCTGGCGGTAGTGCATCCAAGGTAATAGCAGTATTTATTGTTTAATTGTGTGACCTGAATATATTCAGCATGTTCATTGAATGTCATAATGCTGTCTGTTTGGTTTTGTATGTGGCAAAACAGAACTCATGTATAAGTTTTTGTGGGACTTTTCCTTCCTTCAGCCCAATTAAACAGGACACATACCTGGATTTTTCTGGCTTGGTTTGATTTCTGATGTCTTTCCAGTTTGTCTGGTTCTTCCCCAGAGCTGCTGAGGGTGGCACTCTGTTCCCTCCCTTCATGCTGACGCTGCCCAGGAGTAAGAGCGACGAGCACTGTTCCCTGCATCAGAGACGCATGGCTGGAGATGACGTGAATCATTGCGGAGGGGTAGGCAGGTGAGGAGCGGACTGCAGGTTCTCTGTGTCTTGTGCAGGACGAGCCTCCTGCTGCCATCCTCCTGAATCCAGCTGTGCCCACTTGCAGAAGATCACCACAACTGGGCGTGTTGATGCTCGACTTGCCCTCCTAGGAGGAGGGTGAGGAAGGTCACGGGACCCTCACTGGAGCATCCAGACAATCCTAACCACATGGATGCAATTCTACCCTAACTGTGCTTGACTTGGGAGAGCTAGAGAATATAGGTTGGGAAGGATGAGGGAAGGGGCTCCATCTATGCCACTTTCTGTGGTGTGGAGAAGATCTTCCAGTGAAGCCGCTTTAGGGCCACCAACACTGTGGCCCGCAGTCCACTCTTGCCCCATAAGGAAGCCTAATAAACACACTGGTCCCCCTGAGTGAACTCTGGTGCTTTCCTGTCTTGGTTTGTCGGTGGGACTTTTGGAGGCGGGGTAGACACATGATTTACATCTCCTTCAGGAAGGAATTTTAGCAACAGTGTGGCACAGTGAGCTCACACCTCACCTGGCACATCTGGGAGTGGGTGGGGCTTTTGAGGGATGTCTTGGGAGAGGGCAGGGAGGGCCTGGTGCAAACCTTCCCAGAGGCCTTTGTACCTCTTCCTAAGCTCACTTCTGACAGTGAAGTATGTTCTGTAAAACAAATTCTAATTGTTCTTAATAAAAACTTGAAGTCAGATAGTAGGGGGTGAAAGCTGAGTGATCAGAGAAGCAGTGAAGTCAGCCATTAGAGAGACCTTTCACCTTTACCAAATCCTCAGACCCAAAGGGCAATCCTGTCCTCAGACTGACTGCTTCCGATTGCTGCCTCAGACTGCCCTGATCTCCTGTCTCCTCCCACCTTATAATCCTCTCTCTGCCCAGCCATATCACTCCTGTCTCCACCTCCCTAGAGCTGGGTTTAAAGGCATGTGGTCCTAAGTGCTAAGATCACCTTTGTGTGAGTTCTGTTTCTCTTTTAGACTGGACAGTTTCCCTGTATCCCAGGGTGGCCTTGAACTCACAGAGATCTATTTGCACCTTTCTCCTGAGTTAAAGGTGTGTGCCACCACTGCCTGGCCTCTAGTTGCTTATCCCGGTCTTCAGGCAGGCTTTGTTAAAACACAAAATATCACCACAGTGTGCCTCTGAGGATGCCAGACTGCGGCAGTTGTGGTGGTGGGTTAGAAATGGTTCTCTGCTCTTAACCAAATCAACCAAGTTGATCTAAAATCCAGGCTTGGATTGGGCGTGAATGGTGGTTATTTTAGCAGCCGCTACCCGATCATCCACTAGGTGGCGACCAAACCTTGTGAGACCCTGGTGAATTTATCTTGTTAGTGTCTTCTGATGGAGCAGACCTTTCTACTAAGATCAGAAAGGAATGGGAGAGAAAGCACTGCTTGACTTCCCACACAAGGCAGGTTCTTCACTTGCCTGTCCTCTGCCACCAGAGAGCAAAGGAACTGTTAGGTGTGGTTAACTCCCTAGTGTTCCTGGACTGTTCCCTAATCACAAGGCCCCAAATAACGCATCATCTTCACAAGAGAACCCACTTCTGTAAAATACCACCCAATATGCCCACCCACTCGTGTAATTGGCGATCCCAGCGCTGCAAATATACGTGGAATGTTAAACTGGATCGCTGTGGATGCGACTGCGAAGCTTGACCATTGTAAACGCACGGGGCTCAGGAGGGGACACCCCGAAGTGTGATGCCTTGGTGTGCTAACGGTGTTATAAGGACGGGTTCACAAGCAAGTTCTTTCTGACCTAATCTTCCCTGCCCCCACCCCTCAGCTGAGCCCTTTAAACTAGAACCTCGAGGCAGCTGGAAATGCGTGAGTCCTTCTCTCCCCTTCCACTGCCTTTCTGTGCAAGAGCTGGCCGAGAAGAGTCTCCTGTCTTTAGGCCTCAGAGACAGACCCAGGTGTTCTGGCATGTCAACATGTCTGCATATCTGTACAGGCTTCCTTGCATAAAACGGTAGCCATCCCCTCCCCCAGGGCCCTGGGGTCTTCTGAAGACTCCTGGTCAATGAGACAAGCAAAGCTATTGTGCTTTTGTGTTACCTGTCTTGGTGTGTGGATGCCCTACCCCTGTACTGGGTGACCACGGGGTCACACATGTCTGCCCTGCAGGGAAAGCAGTAATGAAGGCTTCACGGTAGCTCCTATGAAGCCCACGAGTTTCCTGCCACTTGTGTGTGCCCAGACAGTCTGCATTTTAATAAACTCCCCGGCAGGAACCTGGGGAAGCTGGTCTTTCTGCTGCATAGGTTGGAGCTGCTGCTCTGGCAGAGGATCTGGGTTCAGATCCCAGCCCCCATGTGGTGGCTCACAATTGTCTGTAGCTCCAGTTCCGGGGGAACCAATCTTCTTGCCTCCCCAGGTACCACATGTACACGTATATGCATCCCCGAATATCATATGTGCACATATATGCATCCCTGGGTACCACATGTACACGTATGTGCATCCCCGGATATCATGTGTGCACATACATGCATATCCCTGGGTACCACATGTACACGTATGTGCATGCAGGCAAGCACCCATACAATTAAAATAATCTTGTTTTTAAAAAAGAAATATGTCTTCATTCAGAACTTGATATGGGGAAATCAACTAGAAGCCTCTTTAAGAGCTTCCTCTTTGTAGTTTTCTAGCCTCCCCCCAAACCCTTCAGAACGTACTCTGACAGTGACTGAAGATTTCCAACAGGATTGCTGTAGTGTAGCGTAGTGTAGTATTGCTAGTATGGAAGCACAAAGGCGAAAGGTGGAAAGGTGGGGCTAGGCGCTGGGCGCTGGCTTCGTGTTTTCCCCCAGAACCTCTGTGGAGTCAGGCATGATGGGCACACTTGGTGGGGTTGAGGGGCAGACATGGTTGGACCCCCGAGGCTTACTGTCTGTCCAGCTAGGTGTGGGTGAACATGTTACTCGGAGAGAAACCCATCCTCCAGTGCTGCAGGACTGCACAGTGAGCATTTTCAAGCCTACGGGAAAGTTGTAGGATGTACAGCACGTTGGGACCATTTGGAGTCCTGGCCTCCAGCGGCTCTTCCCTGCTAGAGATCTTTACTCTCCTTCTGATTTGAGTTACTAAAAGCTGTGTCAAAGTTGTTTACCAGCTCTGCTTCACAAGCGAGCACGTGTCTCCTTGGCCTTGAGGATCAGAGGATACGGTTTTCACCTGTTGGCCCACCTGACTGTTGGGTATATAAGCCTCCATGGTGCTATTGCATAAAAGGGCTTCTTACCAGTGACTAGAGGTCCGTGTCCTTGTCTGTCTGTCTGTGTGAGTCTTTGTGTGCTTCAACCTCCAGCCTCTTGCCCGAAGCTCGTGAACTGTCTGGTAGCACACAGAGCACAGACGGGCGTTGTGCGCGGCACAGCAAGCACCCCGCAGGCTCCTCGTGTACACCCCATGGCCAGCAGGCCACCTCATCTGCTCCGGCCTCTCCTAGCTCTAGCCTCTGCCCGCTGATTCCCTCTGAGCTCCAGAGACACAGTATCGCCCAGGAATATCTCTACCTTGGGGGCCTGTAACCTTCTCTTGGTGGCCATTGTGTACAGCAGGCCCAACTTACAGAGCCACGCCACTGTGGGGAAAACATAGCTCTCCTTGACGCTTGTGTGTTTGTTTTCTCTGTTCTTGAGCTGGAGAGGCAGACCCGTCATGATAATGCTTACCCCACAAGGACGAGGACCTGAGTCTGTGCCCAGGAACCCACGCAAATGTGCTGGCATGGGCCAGCAAGACGGGTCAGTGGGTGAAGGCGTTTTCGGTCAAGCCCGATGACCTGAGAGTGATCCCTGAGACAGAGATGGTACAACTCTCATAGGTTGCCATCTGAACCCCACATGTGTGCTGTGGGCACATGTGTACCCATCAATGAGCACATACACTCCGTAAACAAACAAATGAGTAAATGTAATTTAATTTAAAATGTAAGCCAGTTATGGTGGCACTAGTCATCCCAGTGCTGGGGAGTAGAAGGATCCCTGGGGCTCCTGGCCAACCAGCATGGAATAATTAATGCACTCAAGGCCAGAGAGAAACCTGTCTCAGAAAATGAGGTAAATAGAGCACCTTCCTTCCCAGTAGTCCGTAGGCAGAGGCAGGTGGATCTCTGTGAGTTTGAGGCCAGCTTGGTCTACAGAATGGGTTTTAGGATAGCCAGAGCTATTCAGTCTCAAAAAACAAACAAAAATAAGGCAAATGGTTCTTGAGGGGTGACACCCAAGGATGACCTTTGACCACCACACGTGCATGTAAGTATGTCTGTGCACACACCTGCACTCACATGGACACACACCCACCTCACATACATACAAATTTCTTCTTGAGATTCCTGTGCAATCAAGCTTTCCTTGTGATCATGAGAAGGAGGACACTGCTTGGCTGGTTACTGGTGGACCCAATGGCTGCCTAACAGGGGCCATTTTTGAACCATGCCCTTATAGTCTCTCAGTTGTTCCATCTTGCATCCATTTTCCTCTAGTCACTTTGGTTGGCTGAAGATGTCTAGTTTATTAGGTTGGTGTCAAGTTTGATTGGCATCAAGTCTCTCTCCTCCCTCTAAGTAGGCTGGGCTCCTGTGTCCCTGGCCTGGTGTCTTACCTTTTATTCCAGCATAAGGAAGGATAGCAGGCTATAGCGTCCCACTGGGATGTCTCTCCCTGTTCTCTGGGTTCCAGGCTCTTTTTCCATCAGAGGCTTCAAATGGGGAAGATGGGTTCTTCCAGCCTTCTGTGCCCCATCAGTGGAGAAAGCACCACACGCTATGACAGACCCCTCTCTATCTGAGGTCATGTCCTCTACCTCCTGAGCCAGCAGGAACCCCACTGGAAATAGCAAGGAAGGGTCAGCTCCAGCTATGGCATCTTTCAGAGTGTTTTCTTCATCTGCACAAGCAATGCCCGCGTTGACAGCATAGACATGTGTCCTTCCCCATGTCTGGCTGTCCCCGGAAGTCTCCGTCTCACCAGCTGGGCTACAGTCTCAGCAGAAATCCAAGTGTGCCTCACACCCACCCGTTCTTCACCAGTGCACCCCGGATGTTCCCATCTGGCTCTGGTATGAAAAAAGGACACCCAGGGCCCAGGAAGGAGCCCTGGAGTTAAGTATCAGAAGGCAGTTACCTCTTCCTTCACCCCTGCTGTGGGCAGGAGAGGTGGGGAGTTCAGACTGGGCCAAGAAGCAGCTGGGAGCCTGGCAGGGTCAGTTCTGAAGTCCTGAGATGTTTAGCCCCCATTGTCGGTGGCTCTCAAGATAGGATACATTTAATGCTTCTTTATTCTCAGCTAAGGGTTCTCAACGAAGGTTTTCCTGAGCAAGTGGAAACCTACCAAAAAACACATTTCCACCTGGAAAGCCCACAGATGACCGTGTTCAAGACATCTTGTCCAAATGCCCTAAAAACAAAAACTCAATGAGTGCTTAGCACTCCCAGAAATGGGTGGGCATGGAATATTTGGAACAACACCCTTCCTCTGGGATGTGTTGCTTGTGTCATTAAATAGAACGTTGAACATTTGAGGAGTGCTCCCTTGAGTACCCAAGGTGAGCGTGTTGAGTTAGGGGGGCCAACAGTGGCTCTCACCTTCCTTCTCATCCTCCCAGAAGCCCTTCTATTCTGTTCTGTCAGCTTCTGGGGAGCTGAGAGTGACCACGAAGTGGTTGCCAAACTAATACTGTGCTTCCAAGCCCAGTCAGGGCACCGGCTGGTCGTCACCGGAGCTCCAGGGGCTTAGAAAGCACACACCAGGGTGAGCTGGTGGGAAAAGGGCCATGTAATGCCCAAATGGCATTTAAATGTTTCAGGGCACTGAAAATTCGGTCTCTCCTAATTTATTAAAATGCCGTTTTTTCAACTCAGAACAAGTATAAAGTGGAGCTGTTCCCAGCATCCTTGGGTTCCTTCCCAGAGCTTTGTAACCTACAATCCGACCTCATTCTCCCATGGGGCTCTGCACTGCACTTGTCCAAGCATGGCTCATGTCATGTGACTTGACATGATTCCAAATTCCTAATTCCAAATTAGGGAATATGCTTGGAAGACTCATAGGCTGTGTGCAGAACAATTGCTTTCTCTGCAATGAGCACAAACTAAACTCAGCGTTGTTACCCGAACCTCTGTCTGCAAGGAACACTAGCAGCCACCTCTCTCTCTCTCTCTCTCTCTCTCTCTCTCCCTCCCTCTTTCTACATAGGAATGCTAGCAGCCTGCTCTAGCGCTCTCTCTCTCTCTCTCTCTCTCTCTCTCTCTCTCTCTCTCTCTCTCTCCCTCC